CAAAGAGAGGAACCAAGGCTTACGTTCCTCTTTTTGGCTCTGAGATCCAACTTTAAGATCAGACTTCGGAGATCTTCGCGTCGGAGATCATGTAAGTGTAACATCAGTACATGAGATCAGACTTTTTTGCTTGATATTGAACCTATAAATCTAATTATATATTCGAAACAGCACGGGATGTAACCAAGGTTAATTTAGATAAGATATACCAGCTTTCGGGGTTACAAGACCCCACGAAAGGCTGCCAGAGCATCCTAAATCCTCATGCTATCCTCACGTTGACCATCTAGGTCCAAACTCCAGCCTTTCATTAAAAAACAAGTATTAGGCCCGAGATCCGTCCCTTGTCCCGTAGTGTCCCGTAAGTAAGAGATCGTTCAGATTTTGGTCATTTAGACCCCCTCCCCGCTCTAAAATCCACTTTACCCAAAGCTGGAAAAATTTCACATGTGAAACCTAAATAGCTAAATCAGCATCTCGAGACCTTCTATTATAAAAACCCCGTGATCCTACTATAAGCTTTTTTTTATCTCACACTTATTTTACTTCGGAGTATTCCAACAGCCACATTGTTACACAAGTGTAACTAGCCAATTACAGGAAGCCGAAGGATTTAATTAGGCCAGTGACGGTTAAGGTAGTGTGTACCAAACTTTCTTCGCCCGAGACTTCGCTGCAATGGACAGCTTCTCATTCAACCCTCACACACGATTTCTCGAATATTCGGCTGAGTAGACCGGGGGGCTGCATAGACCACTCAGGATCTTTAGCTGAATGTCGACGACACTCACCCCACGACTAGGCAGGCAGTGGGTTTCGAACTCGCAATCTCACGATTACAAATCCGATGATTAACCAACTACGCTACCTGGCCTTATAACTTGTAAGGCATAAAGGCATTGCATGCCGAAATTAAGATTCACTTCAACTGGTGATGTGAACCTGGTATGTTACCTGAATGCCCTCAGTCAAATCTCGAACCCTGCTAATGCTATTCTGCCAAGTAACCTTAATCTGAAGTTCTAGAATTACAGTTCTAATGTTCTAGTATTTGTGCCCATGCCCCAGATAAGATCTCGAGGCAGCTCACAGCTGTAATAACAGAAGAAATAGCCAGTCACCACTTGATTAAAAACGAGGGAATGACACACATTATCATACGATGGGAAAATCTATGCGACTGAAAAAAATAATATGGGGTCATTCTGAAGTGGGAACCAGACCACTGCGGTATTATAGGAAATTAGCTAAATTAAACTGCGGCCAACAGATCTCAATCCAGGGATTACAGACCAATATTGGTCGAGGCAGCGAAATCAATCATAATTATAAAGTGGGGTACTGGTCAGCGGTCAAGCAACAATCTGACCCGGATCCAGTGCCGATTTATTTTAGGTCCGGTATTCTTAGTACATATATTATGGTTTCATGGCATGAATAAATAAAAAGTTTGAAGTTGAATTTTGGTCTGGCACGTCACACATTTTATTTAAATTGGTACCAAGGAAAAATTGTTGGAGTTTTCACAAATCATGTAGTAGTTATTTACTAATGACTCCTAAAGTGAGCGTTTTTGAGTATATGATGTGCATGAGTCGGCAATTGCGAACAATTTGCTGTTAGCAACTGACCCATTGACCTTTACTAAAGAAACCGTAATTTTGAAAAATTGCCATTTCGTAAGACACAAATATGCTGCTGGCCTGGCCCATTAAGAGAGATGCCCAATAAAGTAGATCATTCTCCAATTTTTGTAGGTGTTTCTGGACACAAAGTGAGTCATCTTACATCTTGTGACAAATGCTGTGTTGCTCATGAGTCTTTAAGACCTTTCTAGTTAACAGTCCAATAGCCCATTTGTGAATATTGTCATTGTTCGCTCGGCAAAAATCCGTTTTTCAGCCACATTTCCGAAAATAAGCCTTTTAGGGTATATGTTGCTTCATAAGTTGTATATAAATGTGGCCATTATGTACATTTTAGTGTATCAGAATAGTCTCTACGACCTTCCTAGGCGGAAATGCCAAAAATCATGGAAATTATGAACTGCGTCAAGCCAAAAACCGTTTTTCGGCCATATTTCCGAAACGAAGCATTTTAAGGTATATGTTGCTTCATAAGTTGTATATAAATGTGGCTATTAGGCACATTTTGGTGTATCGAAATAGTCTTTAAGACCTTCCTGGGCTGAAATAGAAAAATTCGAGTGACCGCGAAACCCTGAAAAAGGGTGTGGCCGAAAACGCCCTCATTGCATTTATTTCAAAAATGCAATGAAGTCCAAATGTTTTAAGAATCATCTAGAGAGGTGATAACCGTTGAGAAATCGCTTTTAACACGAAAAGCTAACGAGATTCCGTTTCGTCTCTGACTACTGATATTTTTCCAGCTTTAAATTTGATATCGTCCACAAGTTTCGGGAAATGATGTTTGTAGACTTGAGACTGTATGCTCACGACCTTTTGTAAATACATATATGAAGAATAGAACATCATATCACCTATTCTTTGATATAAAGTGAAAAAGATATTCAAATCATTGGTAACATATTGATTGTTGTAGATCACAGGTCTATGAATTCTCACATACCATCTCCATGACGAAGTACACAATTTTTCTTACTTGAGGCCGTACAGTGAGTTCTAATGGCTTGTCCCAAATGCATCAATGTGCTTGACTTCTATAACTTAACATTATGAGCCTTTAATCTTATGTCCCAACTCCCATCGTATAGATGATTGATATTTCTTACAAGCACACAAGCAGAATTTCTTCTATAGGCTTCTTTTGAAAATTTCTTTGTTGTCTTTTTAAACCAAGAATATATTGCTCTATGAGATAATGCCATTTTCGAAAGATTTGAAGATGAATGTTTATTAGTGGGCTACAAAATCCTGCCACTCATCATTGCCTATTGTAAAGTAAAATTATTTCTTGGAGCACTTAAATCAACCACTTGCCACAATACAAATTCTCGCATTCCAATAAATGTTATTATATGTTTATTGTTTCTTTTTACCCATATTTTGACCAATTGTAAAAATATATATGCTCAAATGGATATTCTTTTAATTAAGTACCGGGGAAAGAAGGTGGACACCAAACATGAGATCCATCTATCAGAAGTCTCCTACAATCTCATCCCTGCCCCTTTAATGGAGTCTAAATAATGGAGCAGATCATGCGTTTTGAAACTTTTATATATTAGATTGTTAAAGATTTAAAATATTGTGCTCTGCCAATTGCAACACTAAAAATTTGATTGTGCTCTGCCAATCGCATCACTTGATTTAATTGAATGTATATTAAATACATTTTGACACATTTTTCCTTTTATTTACTATCGAAACTTCTATTAGGGAAAACGAAATCTTTGACATACTTATTCTAATCAATTCAATTTAGGTGCCTACAGTTCATGTATAATGATGAATCTACTGGTTAGTGGTGACGACGCAGTCTTAACATTGGAGTGAGCCAATCTAATCCAAGCAAGTGAGGGAAATAATTTTATTTTAAACCTGGCGTGCACCAAGTTGGAAATGCAGTATCCAAGACAACCCACCATTATTAAAGGCTAGTTAGACATTTAAATTGAGTACTCAACAGTTTGGTTAGGAATAAGGTTAAGATTCCTAAAGTCATAATAACTATCTGTAACCCCTACCCTTGCATTATTTTAAATTTGTTTCACTGAAAAGTTTGTTTCACCATTTCTCACTCTTATCCTAAAAGTAGTTTATTATGATCATAGTTCTATAATACATGGGAAGTATCTGTGAAGCCCCACAACCAAGTCTACTCTTGGTTTTAGGGCTGCACAGATACTGCACTGCCCCACTCAATTCCCAATCCAAAACTGGACACCTTTTAGGTTAAATAACTCAATGCACTCAATGATGGTAGCCATACAGCACATCACTCCATTTGTATCCTTTAACACACTATGATTTATTAAAACATTGTTACAGGCATTATTACTCAAATTTCTATTAAAATGAAACTGTGACCTTGCAGTGCAGAGTATGAATCAACCCCGAAATGTTGCTATTTAACAATTAACATAGCAATTAGAAAGATAGATTATTGTGTTTATCCTTAGAATTCTATTAGTTGTATAATGTAAAACCGGTATAGTGTTGGAATTGTTCTCTGAATTTTGTAAAATTGATCCAGAAGATCAGAAAGGGATGCACTTATGCATCAAAATGTTATGTATCCCAAATTTCTTGTTCCCAAGGTATTACATTTTTCACTCAGTGAGTGTTTCTGATTAAAGTATGAGTGTTGGGTGTTTGTCATGTAATGTAGGGCTGATCAGTGGTCAGTTATTTTGATTGATAATTAACTGGGACTGTTGAAAAGCACTGCGCTATTTCTATTCCGTTTGGCTCTGCTAGTTGCGCTTGACCACGCGCTACATGTACGTCATATCATTGATCATGTTTTTATTTGTTTAGATACAAGCTTGTCACGTTTGGCCATCATAATTAAAGTGAAGTAAATAATTCAGTATCTTAATTAGGTGGCTGCATTTTGTTTTGAGTTTAGTAGGTCCTAGTATTTATCCCTATGCAGTCACTCAGATAAGTTTTATACCAGGACACTTCAACAAAACACATATTCTGCCCACAATAAGGGGCCATCATTGTTTCAATTATGCAAATGTATAGGATTATTATTATCATTACCTTGATGCAGTTATCTGTGCACATATGAATAGTCCAAATATACATTTTTTTAAAAATTGTGCATAAAAAGCGGCCACTTTGTTGATTTTATTTGGATTCGATCTAAGTACCACTGATCTGATATTATTTTCATTGTCGGGCTGAAATAAAACTTGTGAAAATTCCAAGAATGCACTGAGCACATTTATGCGCATTGCTAAGCATCTGGCTAATTTAATACTGCAACTGGCTAATGTATAATTGAGATAATTAACATGACCTTTATTCAGATGACGGTAAGATGATTTCGATGATCTCAAAACCGTTGGAGAGATGGATGCCTCATCTACCCCTGGTTGGCTCACAATACATATGATTATTCTGTTTGATATTTTTTCCTCCTCTCCAATCATTGTTGGTCTTCAGCTGTATGAGGTAATTTATTTCAAACAACTAAGCCTGATGCAAATGATGTTAAATATTATTAAGATCTGTCTTTCTTGTGACTTGTATGATCACATAATTCCGTGTTCTTGATGGAAGGCCACATGCACTGTTTTCAAACTTTAAAACAACGACCAAGCACTGTGTTGTTTTTGTTCTTATCATGATCAGTTTATAGTTATCTTCTGATCTATTTAATTTGAGGCAAGCCACGCTTATAATACTTATTGTATCTTTACTAATAAGCTTGATCATATTCTCAGTAAATGAAGGTTTTTAAATGAGCATGTGCTTCGTTACTTTTAGGATAAACTTACTTGTCGCTAGCTGCTGTAATGGCTACATTGTTATTTGTTGTGCTAATGATACCAAAATCGTAGAATAGAGAGAGAGACTGAGAGAGAGAGAGAGATTGTGCTGACTGAAATAGTGGTGACTGGAGAACTCAGAAATACAAATCTGTGCAACATCTTAAAATTCCTAGTTTGATAGCCCTTACAACTCCCTCTGACACACATTGTTTAGTAAGTACTGTAATACTATTTTAAATACGTCCTTAGATAAATAAATATTGGTCATATTTTACCGGGGGAGGAGGGGGGACCCCGGGATCAGGTACTGAGTACTGTTAACTGTACGTGACGTTGGGGTGGTGTGTCATATATTCTTCCAAAACACAGTTAGTACTTTTGTACTAAGTGGTGGATCTGCTGCTCATTTCCCAGAAAAACAGTTTGTACTGTATGCTACTAAATAGTGAGTCTTAGGTCTAATTTGCCCAAAAACAGTTAGTAAATTAAGATATAATTTATTATACAGAGTGCGATTGATCTTTTGTATAATTTTAAAAAGTGGCCTTTGGCTTTGTTGACTTTTCCGTTTGAGAAGGTGCAGTGTTTAATTTATTTTAAAATGTATTTCAACTACTGGTTCTTAAATGATGTGTGATATGTATAGTACACATTACATACATGCCATGTGTGTAATTGTAATCTGTAAACATGTGGGCGTGTGTTAGTGTATGTTTTTAATTAAGCATAGATATCTCAACTGTTAGTTTCATTGTTTACATTCAATATCGGATCCTTTTAAAACTAAAAAGTCATATTTAATGAGCTGTTTAAAGCAATTTCTGGGTGGGTATCTTATTTTATAAACCAAGACATAGTACAGTGATTTCTCAACAGTTAGTACCACAAAAGACGGTAAAAGGGGGTGGGTGTCTTAATTATTATCCTAAAAACAGTTAATACATGATCCCTTACCCCCGGCCCCCCCCCCCCCCCCCCCCCCCCCCCCCCCCCCGATTTTACTGCTGCTAGGTAAAAATACTTTCATAGGTTCAATAGGTAGGTACTGCAATTGTATGGCATGAATATCTATAAAATTGTTTACACGTTTAGCGACAGTGAAAAGAAATCATAACAGCCACTTATTCTTGGAGATGGCAAAAAGATTAAATAAGCTAAAAGAAGCTTGTATTAATCCTCTGGATGTGGTATCTCCTCTATTTCAGAAGTCTTGGCCCAGATTTCTCTGGTCTACTAGACGTGGAGCACAGGTGTAAGTCTACTTCAAATGTTTGTTGAGAGTGTCGGTTGAGTGTTAGCAAATAACTCTTTCCAACGTAGATTGATGGCCATTGCAGAAATATTCTCCTGTACCGTAGCGAGTAGATCATCTTTTGCTTTCTTGGACCAAGACTGAGTGCTGTGTTGTGAGTGTGAGTAGAAATGGTGACCTTTCCTCTTCGGGGGCGGGGGAGGAGTGGTAGTGAAATGTTGATGGGGGAGCGGGAGAAGTAGAGAGGGAGTTGTGGAGTATTTTGTGGAGCGGTTTGAGGAACAAACTAAATAACCTTCGAATAGATTTCGTAATTCCTGCTAGCATTGTACAAAATTTCAGGGATTAAATCCTGAAAAGTAGCGAATAGTATTGCCGATCAGGCCAGGACCATGTAAAAGTGTAACATTCCTTCTCCGAGAACAAATGTAAGTTGAAGCAAAATTACTATTGCCAATTATTTGCCAATGCTGATGAAAAAATGTTATTAAGATTTAGAAAGTTCTGAGATTATTATCTATCATACAATTTTGACACAACTCACGACTTGCTGAGGTTATGTTTCAAATTCGTTTCACATTATTAATCTTTGACAGGGAGTTAATTCTGCCACAAAAGAAAAGAATGAACTGATGAACTCGTTCACACTACCCCTCGCTCTTCAACTGTTGGAGAAAACTTCCTTCTATCGCTGCTCGCAACACAGCAGAACTTGGTTTAATTCTGTGCGCTAAAATTTTGCAAACGAGGCCTAAAATACTGTTATGTAGGATAGACTGTTATGTAGGATAGACGGAATCGTTTCAGTAACTTTCTTGATCATCTTTAGAAACTCTTTCAACAACATTGATAAAGTCCAGTTTGCCTGCTGAAATTTCAGAATCTTGCTCTACTTTACGGAAGGCGCGAATGTAAAATCTATGAATTGTAAAAAAAGCAATAATTGTCAGTTAAGAGTTAAAATTTGAATATGCATGATATGGTCGGTCGAATATAATATAATGAATTGATCCAAAGCCAGCAGGCTTTTCGCACTGGCCAGTAATGCTTTTTGAAGGGAAACGCTACAATGCTCATCAAGGAGCAAATCCTGGTTCGCGTAACCAATATCAAACGCATCATGGAATCCATTTTCTGAGATAGGATTCACATCACTCTTTTTACTGTTTGTTTAACAGAATGATATTAAGTAGTGGTCGTTTTGAATTATTTTCAGACTTTCAATACCGATGGGGTTTGAGAATAATTAGGTCTTGGGAACATAGTTCTAATCCGGAGTTATGGCAAATAACGTGTTAGTAATAATGTCAATGATTATATCGGTGTTCGTGTTTTAATCTAACTACTGACTTTATTTGTTTATTTCAATAAGATATTGTATTTACCTTATATTTATAAATAATATAGATAGAGCAAAAGCATCCGGTCTAACTTTTACTAGTATCTGTTCTTTGGAGTAGTCCTCTGCTCTCATGATCAAGCCATTGTGGTAACTGATCATTTTGATACTATGTGTTATTATATTGTGCTACAATGCACTAATCGATCAAATTAATAATAGTTTCAATTCTTATATTGGTAGAATTGGCGTTAAAAATTGCACGCGAATGTATTAAAATTACACAGAAACATCGTCTTTGATCATCTCTATCTCAAAACGATCACAAAGTAGCATCCTGAAAATTTGCACACATACAGTTGAGATGATGTCTAATATCTTCTAAGTTTTCTTTGTAGCGCGATGCACTACTGGGTAGCGCGCGCATCAAATAATGCTTCTCGGTAGATCGGCGAGATGCACCACTGTGCCTCACCGAGCTGCGAAGGATTGACATCGTGAATCAAAGTTTTCTGGGAGCCTACTATGTAAGCTTCACTTGCAGTGGTCTGTCGAAAATTGGTTACTTTGCGCACATTTAATAGTCGACTTTATGAAAAAAGTTAACTAATCAAATTTATACTGGGATGCAGAACAAAGGATTCTCTTTAAAACTGAAACATGAACTAGTGATATGCTAAGTAAAGATAGGGCTGGTGGTCAATAGGAATCATGATGAAATATTTGCGTGGCAACACTCAGCGCGCGAAAAAATCTGTAGTGCAATGCGCTTCCAGTGGTCCCATCGTGGGAAGATCTTACCTGGGGACCTCAGGCTATCAAGTTCATAATAGAAATTCGGCGGCGCGGAATGACAGGCTGAGCGCGGCCCAGTAAGGAAGATCGAATGTAAAGTAATTTAGCACGCTCTATCTATCAGGACAAATAGGAAATAGTCATTCACTTGATTGACGTGTCAACTTCATCGAGATCGTTGTTCTGCGAAGCAGAGCTCAACGATTGACGATGCGATTGCTCTAACCAGAGCCCTCTCACTTGCAGTAGCGCGCGACCGCCGAAGAAACAAGCGCGTCACGCAGTACGCGTAGGCACATGGCTATGTGAAACGATGCGAAGCAAAAATTCTTTGATGCGAAGCAAGAATGCTTCGATGCGAAGCAAGAATGCTAGTTTGCGCGGCACGGCGAAGTCCTCCAAGTCATTCACCAAATTATTAATTGGGCATTATGTTTTAGTGGCAGTGCATTGTTGCAAATTTACCCATTTTGCTCTCCAAAAAAATTGTAGGCCCTACTAAATTTACTGCCACAGCAAAAGAAATCCATGCAATTCTCTTTGTGAATGAACAGCCTATGATGTAGAGTGTTTATAATATGATATTCTACTACGACGTAGAATTATAATAGCTAGATAAAGCTAAAGTAAAGTAAAGTAAAATTTATGACATCACATCATCACACATGTTTACAAAATATCATCGCACTATGTGAAAAAATATGTAATAAATATTTCCCCACCAACATTAATTATTTATCAAATACAATATATCTATAGATAGATGTGGCCTAAGCTATGTATGCACGTTCGAAGGACCATGATATGAACCTGTGAGTTCTTTTTATTTGTTAGTAGAGCATCTTGTGCTATACTGGTTCTAACAAATTTATCATCGGATGTTTACTTATATTTATTATGATATTATTATTCATTGTAATGGCAATCAAATTTAAATTTTGTTTTCCTAAAAATGTTGTTTTCCTTATTATAAGAGCCGAAATTTCCACTCAATTAATAGCCAGTGCATAATGCTATTAGCTCGTTAGCTTGTGCTCATAACTGCGTCTCGAATTACGTAATTATGTTCTTGTGCAAAGAGTTTCAAAAAGTTACTTATTAGAATTTGTATTCAATGCCTTTGCTACTGTGATAGTGGACAGCATTTTTTATGTGATAGGGCACGATTGTGTTTGAGAAGGATTGGTTTGTGCTACAGGAGAATATGTGATCTGATCTGAGCATACTAGTACAATATTGATATTTAGGTCTTGGTATGGTTTACAATATAATACAAAAATAAAGATATCGTTTTTATGGAATGCAGGCCTTAATTATCCAGTATCCACTCATTGCTGACCAATTTAGGACTCCAAAACCCCTGATTTACAACAAACCATATTTTACCACGGGTCTTCTCTTTCGCCAAAGTCCGCATTAAACCAGGGTTTTACTATACTGTATCAGTTAATTTCATTTTGTTAATCACTTTTTAGATTTGATCGAAATTCTAATTCCAATTCTGATTTAGGGTGGATTTTGTTAAAAGACTGTGTAGAGAGGGTATTGGTATGATGAGCTGTTATCCTAATCTGTGGATTCTTACAACAACTGTACTCCTATCATGTCTTTTTATATCGTCTGTTACTCAAACCATATCATCTGCTGATAACGGAGGAACATGTGATGCAAGTGGTTGTCCAACAGAAAGTGATAATGCAAAATTTTCTGATAATGCTGATGATTGGATTATGCCAAATGCTTTATTTGAATCAAACCTTGTGGAACTTGCAAATACCAATTTGGGAGTGATTTCTGGGAATATCCCATCCTGGCTTGATGGAACACTTTACAGAGTTGGGCCAGGGCTTTACGAACTTGGAAACAGAAGGGTTAATAATATGGTCGATGCATTAAGCAAAGTTTGCAGATGGTCATTTAATAATGGTGAGGCAACTTTTTCTACAAGCTTTCTGAAAAGCAGTATTTACAACAGAACAAAAGAAAATGAAGAGCTTGTTGCCATTCGCCATCTTGGGCAAATGCACCCTCCAGCTACTACTATGGAAAAGATTCAAATCATGTTTTATGACAGCTTGCCTGATAACAACAACATTGCTGCCTGGGAGTTAGGAAAGTCTGGGGTCACCATTACAGCTGAAAGCCATGTGTACATCGATGTGGACTTTAAGTCTTTGGAATTTCAAAAGAAATATAGTGCAAAATCTGATAACACTGGAATGTTTGAGCAAGAGTTTTTGTCAGCCAGTCACTTTTGGAGGCATCCTTCTTCTGGTGATAGTATCAACTATAAGATTGTCATACCTCTAGATAAAGGGTTTATCAGCAAAAATGAAGGTCCTGCTTATCATCTATACAGATACAAAGAAAATGAAGAAGGACAAATTGATGCTAAATTTGTGGGAAGAGTACCGATTGAAAAAGGGGATTTCAGGGTTGTTCACACTCTTGGGGCTACAGAAAACTTCATTGTTTTACCTCGCTTCAGCTTGTATGTCGATTTCAATGACCCTGTAGAACTTGGACAAAATATAAAGTTTAGCTCATCCAAGCCAGTCTTTATGGACGTTGTTTCTCTGAAAGATGGAAGCCGAAAGCAATTTACTTTCAAAGCACATGAGGCTCAACATATTTTCAATTCATATGAACGATACAATGATAAAAATGAACTTGAGATTGTTGTTGACTACCCTACTTTGGATAGCGTTGATAATGTTCCTGACAAGAACATATTCGAACTACTCAACATTGAAACGTTGACTGATCCCAACTTTCAATACAAAGAACACTGGGAAGCCTACACAACATTTAGGATCCGTCGATTTATTCTCAACATGGACACTGGAACTGGTCACATATATGACTACCCCCAAATGTGGTCACCCTTAAATCTGCAAGTGGAGTTTCCATACATCAATGATGCTTACAGGGGACTGCCATATTGCTATGTTTACCTTCAAACATGGAACCAAGATGCACATAATGCAATGGGAATCATGAAGGTCGACATGTGCAAGGAAAAAAGTATTGGCTGGCAGGAAGTAAATAAATTCCCTGTTGAACCTGTTTTTGCTGCTCGTCCTGGTGCAACTGATGAAGATGATGGAATCATCATGTCCCCTGTTCTTGACTCAACCACTAACTCAACTGCACTGTACATTTGGGATGCAAAGAATCTGGAAGTTCTGACGATTTTGAACACTCCAGTTACGGTACCTTTTACTCTACATGGTGTTTGGATCAATGGGGTATGAACTTGAAAATTTCAAATTACAGTATCAAACTTGTTCTTTGATTCAGAAATTTGAACAGGATCTTAACAAAATAGACAAATTACTTCGATATACCATACAGTACCATAATCTGTGTACCAAATAATCATGCACACATCAAACTTATTCGTGCTGTATGGTATAATGTTGTAAATGAATAAATTAGTTGAAATATTTTATCATCTTTTGATGCAGTTTACTGATTTTCTATGAAATGGAATCTATGTAATGGGATTTATTATGATTTTTAAGGATTTAATTTTGTATAATTCGCTAACAGATCCAGAAAATATAATTTCAGACAATTATTCTCATTGTTACTCGTTATTTTGCTCGATTTGCTGTAAATTAATCAACGAAATGGTGTTTCACGAAAGTGTGTTCTTGATACAAAGTTTGACCCGCTTTGATCTTGAATAATATGAAATTTTTCGAAATGTGCATGTTAAAATTTCAAGTACTTAATCATATTTTTCAGTTTTGTTTCTCTTTTTATACTTTTGTTATTTGTTCTTAAATTTAGAATGACTGATTTTTGATTGATGACTATTAAGAGTCAAATCATCACCCTTTCTTGAACATTTTTGTCTTCAATCAAATCATAATTAGCATGAGAACTGGTTTTATCTGGAGCCAGATGTCAACTTTTGATCTTATTGGAATTTTAACATGTGTTACAGTGTAGTATGGTTATGTTTCATCTCCTCCTCGTTTGTCTTGCTTCATTGACAAAAAGTGAGGAGACATGCTCAGCAGATTCGCCAGAAAGCAGCTGCCGCTCTAAATACGCTCAGTTTGACTTCAAAGGCTGGGAGCTTCCTCTGGCTCTATATTCTAACCAGCTTAATGAAGTTACTGATGTGGAGGTGACAGTAAAGTTTGGATCCCTGCCAGAATATCTTCATGGGTCCTTGTACCGGGTGGGACCTGCACTTTACTCTCTTGGTGGTGAAAGAAGGGTTAATAATCTCATTGACGGGCTGGCAAAGCTTCACAGATGGTCGTTTAACAAAGAGACAGGGAAAGTGAGGGTATCTTCTAAATTTGTGAGGAGTGATGTGTATAACAGAACTATTGCTGCCCAGGAACTACCTCCGATCCAATACATGGGTGAGATACATCCACCGCTTACCGAAAAGCTCAAAATTCTGTTCTATGATCCGCCCAATGACAACACCAATGTGGCAGTTTGGGACCTTGGCTCGTTAGGTGTGACAACAACAACAGAACAACCTCGGTACATTGATAATGACTACATTACATTGGACTTCTTGCGGGAATATGTTCCTCCTTCCTGGGACAAGAGTCTATTTGAAATGGAGTTCCTTTCAGCAAGCCATTTTAACAGACATCCAACAACTGATGCTAGTATCAACTACAAGATACACCTTCCTTTTGACATGGGCATTTTTAGTGGTAAAAACTCTCCGGCCTATCATTTCTACGAGTATGAAACTAATTCGGCTGGAGAGATTGTGACTAAATCATTGGGATATATCTCTGTTCCTTCAGATGACCTTAGAATTGTACACTCATTTGGTGTAACAGGGCATTATGTGATATTACCAAGATTTAACATGTTCCTTGACCGTAAAGATCCCATATCCATCGGAGCTAACATTTATTGGGATGCTACTAGACCAACAGTCTTTGACATCTTATCCCTGGAAACGAAGGAAACTTTGTCGTTTAAGTTCACCGCTTACGAAGCTCAGCACATTATAAACTCATTCGAACAGCAGAATAGCAAGGGAGAGCTGGAGATTGTCCTTGACTTTCCAACTAGAGTTTACCCAGTAAGTTTTCATGAGGAAACTGTATACGATATGCTCAATATCGACAAGATAAAAGACCCAAATTGGAAACAAAGTGAGGAAGAGATAAGGATCAACGACAGGGCTCGTATCACACGATTTATACTGAACACTGTGACTGGTGAGGGGAGAGACAAGGATTTCCCCGTCATGTGGAATGCTCCAAAATATTCAGGAATTGAATTTCCCACATTCAACCCTAACTTTAGAGGAGCCCCCTACTGTTTCACTTACTTGCAGGTCTCTAATCGGGATCTAGGAGGTGCTATGGGGATTATAAAACTGGACCTTTGTAAAGAAGAAAGTATTGGATGGGAAGAGAAGAACAAGTTTCCTGTTGAGCCGATTTTTGTTCCCCGACCAGATTCTACTGACGAAGATGACGGAGTTGTCATGTCACCTGTCCTAGATTCCACAGATAACTCCACCTCACTTTACATTTGGAATGCTAAGAATCTAGAGGTGGTTGCGATTGTGGACACTCCTGTTATTGTACCTTTTACGCTTCATGGGCTGTGGTTTGATGGAATATGAACCGTTTGGTTTTCAACCCTTTTCACTCTTGATGGTGTAACTTATTACAGCTTGTGAAGAAGTCAGAGGATAACCCCGATCTCAGACATTTCATCATGTTGAACTGAAGGACCCATGTAACACGCGACCATGTACACTGTACAGCGAAAGTAACCACATTTAGCCGAATATAAGTTAGATGGGAATAATTTTAAACTATTAATAGTGGCATGTTATTGATAGAGAGTTCAGAGTGTTGTGTGTGGATTATGGAGGTTATGATTAACTGTATGAATTTGACTGTATTATATACGATGCATCCCGATTTTTAGTGGTTTCAGACACTTCGAAATGTTATGATTAACTCAATTTTTAAATCAGAATATACATCGTCAAACGTATGAATATTGGTGACATTTTAATGATTAATTATGTTTCTAATTATAATATAATTTATTTCATGTTATCAATGACTTTTACTGTCTCAAATATTAATTTATTTCAAGAAAATAGACATCTACCATGGCCATGTACCGTGGGGAATCCTTTATCAATCTATCTTTGATATTTGAATTCTAAAAAACATTTGAAATCTTCGATATCAAACTCAAAACCATCGAACTTTAACTCTAACCATTTTAAAATAACAACGTCCGTCTTATAACAACACCTCTAATAATTCACCTATTGTAGCTTAGTTCGATATAGTGTATGTCTAAAGAAAAGGATGATGATTGGTCTGAAGTCTCGCCTGTGTACCTGATAGACCGAATGAAGGCTAGAGTTGGGTCACCGGAGAGTCTTAGTAAACCTGGACTACTTAGTAAACCTATCAGTATCAACCCTGCTGAGGTGAGATATATTTAGTAAACCTATCAGTATCAACCCTGCTGAGGTGAGATATATTTAGTAAACCTATCAGTATCAACCCTGCTGAGGTGAGATATACTTAGTAAACCTATCAGTATCAACCCTGCTGAGGTGAGATATACTTAGTTAACCTATCAGTATCAACCCTGCTGAGGTGAGATATACTTAGTAAACCTATCAGTATCAACCCTGCTGAGGTGAGATATATTTAGTAAACCTATCAGTATCAACCCTGCTGAGGTGAGATATATTTAGTAAACCTATCAGTATCAACCCTGCTGAGGTGAGATATATTTAGTAAACCTATCAGTATCAACCCTGCTGAGGTGAGATATATTTAGTAAACCTATCAGTATCAACCCTGCTGAGGTGAGATATATTTAGTAAACCTATCAGTATCAACCCTGCTGAGGTGAGATATATTTAGTAAACCTATCAGTATCAACCCTGCTGAGGTGAGATATATTTTGTATTTATTTTATTAAATATTTAAATTTAAAGGTGAGAATATTTTAGGCAGGCCCGATATTATTATGTATAGTGGCAGTTTTCTAATTGTGCATTTTTATTAATTAAATAACATTTAACGATTACTCTTTCAACCATTAAATTACATTTAATTTTTTGCTCTGAGTGTAACTTGATTTGAATTTTTCAGAAAAAGATAGAACAGATAGCAGAATCATGCGCATTCAAGGGTGGCATGGCAACCGTGATCGGAGGTGCAATGGGGGTATTTTTCGGACTTTTCACGGCAGCTATAGACCCCAATATGACATCTATATCGGACAAGCCTCAAACAGCGAGGGATGTTTACAAAGAAATGTTGTCCCGCAGTAAATCGTACGGCAAAAGTTTTGCATTCCTTGGACTAGCACTGTCTGGTTCCGAGTGTGTGATAGAGTCGTACCGTGCACGGAGTGATCTGAAGAACAGTTTGTATAGTGGCTGTTTGGTGGGCGGGGGGATGGGCCTGAGAGCTGGTGTCGTGCCAGGTTGTTTGGGTTGTGCTGGCTTTGCTGCCTTCTCTGCTGCTATTGACTTTTACATGAAGAGCTAGCAAGGTGCTGTTATAAAGTTTGTACAGTAAAGTTACCACGTGACTCGAAACCCATTTTAACGGCGGAGTAATTGCTATATGTGGGATTACGGATATAGACGGTCTTAAGCATGCGTTAAGAGTTGGACGTGGTCCAATTGATGCTTGCCGGCCATTACTAGTGATCAGTATGCATAGTTTAAATTTAATGCTTGACTATGACTCCTTCCATTCGTTTCATATCGAGCTTAAAATGTTGGCCGGGTTTTTAATTTAATGAGAGGCGAGAGCAATTTACAGATCATACTTCTCGGTTCAGTTTTATAGATATGCTTTATATTTTTCTCGTATTTATTCATTGATATTAATTTATTGAATACTGAATATTATTATTTTAGTTCAAGTCGTATTTTATTAATGGTTGAACATGAATAGTTGCTGTATAAGAAATTAGAAAAGTTTGCTAAACCTAGGTATCAATTTTAGAAATGTGGTATGAACTGTTTTTATCTTATACCGTTCCGTTTTATCCGTTTTATCCGATATCATATTTCTAATATTCAGAAACTTTCATAACCCGTGATAGCGACATCAACGCCAGATTTCATATCTCAACAATTTCAAATTTTTATTGCATTGCTCAAGATACTACTTATGCACAGATGTTCCCTTTTGTTCTCTAATCTTGTTCACATGATGACTGACATTTTTATCTCCCGAGAGTTGCGTAACTTGACACGGCTGACCGACTGGGGCTTCAAATGCGAAAACACGCCAGGCCTTTAAAATGCTAAAGCACGTCAGGCCCTAGAAATGGTGCATAGAAAACCATGAACTCAAGAATATTTCCCTTACAAACTATTTCGTAACCCACATGATGTTACTTTCTTATTGGATGACATTTACAAATCAGCTTTAAGCTCGCGGCAATTGACAGAGGACATGTTGGGCCTCTTTTATCGTCCCTGTGCAGATTTCTAGTCACAAGTCTTAAACACGATTTTTAGTGGTGTCAGCTAACTTCGCAAAATGCAGCCAACGGTTGTGATTCTTTTGGAACACGGGACGCTTATTTTGCTGAGAAAAGATTCTTATTTAATGTCGTTATCACTACCGAAATTCACGCCGGCACATAGCGCGCGCATGTAGATTTTACTAACCCCTCTCACTTTTACAGATTAGCATGCGATATTGATTTTGGATGGACGAACTGTTTTCATTAGAGGTTTTTGTGAGGAAGATCTACAGTATCGATGTAACCTGTCATCTCCCTTCGATTTCATTCCGATTGTTGGACTTTCCTTCGCAGACTATCCACATCACTGATAGCGAACGAATTGCTAAAATTCAAGGCAAAATCAGCGAAAACCCTGAATATGTCAAAGATTTGGGTAAATTGAAGAACTCTAAAGGGGACGTAATCTTTAACAAAGGGAAATCATGCTTGTTCCCACTATCCTTCGAGTCAGCACAATCCCAATTAACAGAGATCCCTTTATACGTTGTCTTAACAGAGAACATAGTAAAATCTCCCAAGTTCCTTGGCTCTATAGGAATTTCATTGGTCAAAATCATGGACAAATTAAAGGAGGAAATCACTCGGGATCCACAGACTATTTGTAACGAGTCACTTCGGGGTAGCTTCCCAATTAAAAACTTGATGGGTACAAGAATAGCTAAACTTGCTGTAGAAGTGAAACTATACTACTATGGCTCTAATCTTGTGAACCATATTCCAGCTTTAAACAATGTAGCTGAAAAGAAGCACGATGCATCTTTAGGTTCTTCAGATCACTTGGCATCAAACGAAGCCATAACCTCAGTAATGGCGGAGCTTACAGACTGTGTGGGGTCAGATCTTATCAATAAAACTTCAGACTTGTTCAGTCCAGAAGAGTCAGATTCTGATAAGGAGAAGGACGAATCTGAAACTAACCTAAATCCTCCACCGCTGTTTTACCAAGCCGTGCCGCCTCAAAAAGTCAACGAAAATGATTTGCAAAGAAAGAAAGTACAAATCAGCAAACCAAAGGATGATTCCCCGAAACGTCTTCGGTCAAAATCCGGCGACAGTGACGTCGGTAGTGCTACCCGTCTTGAAAAACTGATAAAATTCAGTAAAACAGGACAGCTTTCTCCTGACTCAGAGGTAAACGAAATGATTGAAGGAGGGTATGATCCGAAACGGTTTGATCTGATTCGAGCCGTCCTTACTGAGCTAACATACCTAACAGATTTCCTGGATCCGAACCTTGTCAACAATATAGACCCGGCAGAAAATGAGACTCCTAGACAAAACGAAAACAAAACTCCCCAGAAACCGCACCCGCCACGCCACCCGAGACCCTTATCCGTAAAAACACCAAAGTCCAAAGCTAGATACGGTCTCACGAACAGTTACATCCTCAGACTAAGTAAACTTGGTCCTGATAAAGCATTAGATGTCCTATCTAAACACATGGGTAAACAGTCAGCTTCCAACTTTGTTGATAATAGATTTAATGACCGCCCTAGCCCAGTGAGGAAACACCCCATAGACAGACCTGCACTAAAATTACAAACAAAACCCATCTTAATAAACTCAGAGTGTCAAACAGATAAAAACGAAGCACCTCTTCCTGTACCTAAAGTTGCTTGGCAAGATCAATCACCAATTGCAAGTCAACAGAGAATATGCGTTCATACCGGAGAAGCTTTGGCAGACGGATTCTCCCAGACTCTTGCAGGGACAGCCCCCTTCTCCGTGCCCCAAGATGGACTAACATATTCCACTCCATTTCAGAGTACTGGTAGTGCTACCATGGCTCAAGTTCTAGCAGCCATGCAAGCTCTAGGCCAGAACACTATGTCTCAAGAAAGAGAGCCTCACTCAAGAATCTCCAGACACAGTTCACTCCGCAGAGCTAACTCCAACTTGGACTACTCAGATAACTTCGAGGAGCCGTCTTGTATCAGCCTGACTCGGAGTGCTGGATCTCCTCGCAGTAGGCCAATTAGTCGAGCTGCAAATTCCCGTCTGTCATCGCGGTCTCCAGTTAAAACAGTACCGGAAGATGAGTTTTCAGAGGAAGATTCCTCAGAAGGAGAGGTTTTTAGAAGAAAACCAGCTTTTTTCAAAAAGTCTTCTTCTTCCCGGAACATGCGCTATCAAAGAAGAAGCAGCTCAATCAAGACGTCTTCTCTCCTCGAACAAGATGATTCTTCTTCTACTACCTCTACTGCAGCAAGTAACAGTATTCTTTTCCGCAGGTCCAAATCTTCTAAATCAACATCCAAAAAGTCCCAAACCTCCCTTGTTTCTCCTTCCACATCCCAACTCACCAGACGGTCACACAGCTCAAACTCCAACGTGTCAACTAGCAAAGCCTGCCAAACCCCAGCCCCACCACGTAGCCTCAGCACTCAGACAGACGCGGTCAGTGACAGCGAGTGCTCGGTTCAAACCGTGCTGCCATCACCCACACGTGACATGCACAGTGATCACGTGATCTCTTCTCACAGTAGTCTGGAGTCTGGGAGTATTTATATTGGGAGTGACACTGAGATAGAGGAAGAGGAGGACCCTTTAAAGTTGAGTTATCTGCTCAGCACGGAGTCAGTACAGTTCTCTGATGAGGACCAGCCCACTAGTTTGCTGAAACTCTGTAGTCCAAGTGAGGCTCGGGCTGTTAACAGGTTCATGTACACTTTCTAGCCATTTTCACGGATATTTTAAAACGAATATTTTATTCTATTTACCCTGTACCTCAAATGTTAAACTCTAGATTTAAGATGTTGTTGTAAATGAAAGGTTCAGAGTTTGAACAATGTAAATAGACAAATTTTTCAATGCACATAACTTAATTCATTATATAGCATGTTATTTATAAGTTTCTTTCAGATCTGCCTATATCAACATATTTTTCCAGCATTTAAATTAACCATAATATTTTTTGTAAAGTAAAGAAGTAATATTATCAATTATAAAATTTGCGTATAACAGCCTATTTATTTGTTATTGGTATGAAGTTTACTTCAGTGTTTGTATGATCAACTTTTGAAACTCCAATCGTTTTATTTGTTATCGTGTCAATATAACTGCTAGAAATGGCAAAAAGTCTTGTTATTCAGACCCACTAAATCACCTTGAAGGATTTTTATTTTTACATAACGGCATGTGAAATTAGCATTATTCGATGGATTTTGTATACTGATTCCGATATTCGAATATCATATCAATATACGAATTCGATTGTTTAACTTTAGGGCTCGGATTAGGGTTATGGTTAGCTTCGAGGTTATGGTTGGGGTTAGGGTTTCGGTGAGACCGTTTCTTTCGGTAACACTAACAAAACGGTAAAAACACAAATTTCAAGTCACGTGATACTGATACCGCGCTGGCGAGTGAATAATAGTAGAAGCCGAAATAATAAATCGTCAGCAGCTTGTTCAATAGATAATTTCATACGTGTGGAAATATTCATGTGTGTATTTTTTTAACGAATGTGTGGCCGAGTGACAGGCTGAGTGCCGCCCAGTATGATTAAGGACAAGTAATAATCTCCTTTTTAAAACTAAACGCTTCGTTATAAATTAATTTTAAAATAATCATGTCAACCTTTTCAAACTTAAAAACAATAACTATAAGATCCTTTAAAAAGTTAAAATAAATAATTAAAACTGAAATATCCCCAATCTGTCAAGATTTCTTAGTGAAATAAGACCGTATACAATGTAAAGTAGAACACTGACTGTGATCATGATCATAGTGTCCTGAAACTGTTCCGTTTTCTATGCCATCATTTTCACCCTGATCATGAGCTCCTTGTTCTATATCTTCCTCTCCTTCCTCAGTATCAAGTGGTCTAGCGTCCCCTATTTTGCCTCCAAGCCACCGCGTAACCGTGATGGCCTCATCACCCGCCTGTTTTTTCTCCTCACAGTCCGTTTTGCTGTCCAAGTACGGACTACAGCTTCTCATTGTGTGATCGGAGCCCACCTCCGAACCAGACCTGAACAACGACTTCCTTTTCTTAGGTACACTCTCAGCGCTGTACTCGTGGCTGAGCAGTCGTTTCCTGGGTCGGGATGGCATGTCAAGGATGGGCGAGTTTGAGAGCTCGGAAAACTCAGTCGCTGATGAGACACAGAACTTACACCGACAGTTACCGCGGTGGATTGGGGTTCCTGTTTTTGTAAACTTTCTCCTAACTCTTTGTTCGGAGTTCTCCTTATTTTCAGGAGAAGTTTGTTTTAAGACCTGAGCGTGACCCTTAGTGGGCGTGGTTGGTATGTCTGACTGAGCGTGTATTCTCTTGGGACGAGGTATTGAAGAGTTGGAGCAGCTGCGGGGGGTCAGATCTGTGGCAACAGTAGATGGAGTACACACACTGCCCCCCACTCCCACGGTACTTGCGGGTGTGTGAGATTTGGGGGCACAGTAGAGGGGAGGGAAGTTTCTACAGCAGCTCTTGCATAAGCTGGTACATTCCAGTGGAGATAAGGTCTGTGTTCCAACACTGCATCCCACCGTGGAACCGCTCTGAGTTGCCACACTTGTTCCCTTCAGATCAGGTAATAAGTCTTGATCGGTTCGGCTGCTGCAAGGAGAACTTATCTTTACCGGACTTTTTATTTGTTGTTTTGGCCCTGATGTAGACATTAGATCATCCTCAGGTTTACTTTTAGTTGGGGTTGCGATGAGTTCAGTTGAGTTTTTGTTGGTTTTTTCTTTTCTCTTCGGTTTTTTCTTAGGGCTGGGGACGTTTTGTACTTTAGGTGAGCTCGATAGCTCGTCAACATGTTTACTCTCGACCGTCTTCCAAGTCATGAGCTTGTTTGCAGATTCTAGTTCAAGAGTGCTGATTCGTCTTCCACCTCTTGAAACCTGAAGTGAAAATGCATTCACTTTCAGCAAATGTTAGATATTTTTCTAATGCTTTAAGAAATCATCATGACGAAATCAGAACTAATTAATTGTCAAGATACACTGAATCTTCAAGTTTGTTACTTTGGTCTTGTTCAGTCGAGGTGATTGTCTTAGAGGAGACTGATCGGTCTTTCTTTTCTCAGAAGATAGCAGACCGTTTGATCTGAAGTAAGCTGAGATCTTTCCTGGTGTTTTCTGTTGTGCTGTAGAGCTGGAACTAGGAATGAGGTTCCTCGGGGACTGGCGAACAGGGGACCTCACTGGGGTCTTATCTGTAATTAATTATTTATTAATTAGCTATCGAATCAATTAACATATTGATTAATTCAAAAAAATTCGTTTAGGGTTGTACGCCACAAGTGATTGACATGAAGACAAAATTACTTATATCAATGAACAATGTTCTGTCTACTCTAAATCAAATATCGCAAGTAATGTAAATAAGTTTAAATGTTGTGTATAAGTAAGATAACTAATATAACTAAGTTTAAATCTAGCGTTTAAGTGAAATTAGCCCTCTCCTCACCAATTGTCTTAGAACTGCTGCTGAGATCTTGACTTGAAGAGGGTGCTTCTTCATCCTCAACAATTGCTCGGAGACGACTCTTATCTGAACAAATTCCTTGTCAGCATCACCAATAAATCACAATAGCCGCATGAAGTGAAATACATTTTTATTGTTACGTTCTCATTCATGTCATTGTAATTTTCATTTTTAAACTGGAAGTTTTTCTTGAAAGAACTGAGTACATTCCTTACCTTGTCTGTTAGGAGTAGGAGTAAATTTGGAGTTAGGAGTAGCTCGTGAAGGGGTGAGAGTTGTATCGTTACCATGGTTATTATTATCCGGTCTTTTTGGGGTACTTTTATCTGTTCGTGGTGTTAATCTCGTTATTTTGGTCGTCCTGAAATAAATAGGTTAGTTTTATAAGCAGGTTAGTTTTATAAGCAGGTTAGTTTTATAAGCAGGTTAGTTTTATAAGCAGGTTAGTTTTATAAGCAGGTTAGTTTTATAAGCAGGTTAGTTTTATTAACTTGGAATATAACCTGAACAGATCTCAGCCAGGTACCAGACCCCACAAAATGGGAAATAGTATAAAACTCACGGACAGCCAGGAGTCACGTGACCTACTAATAGCAGGGAGACTTCTACATAGTCAGTGTAGAGTTTATCAGTGTAATTAGTTTAAGTATGTGTGGTTTACGTTTCCTTGCTTTGCTAGTCTACTTGTTTACACCAACAGGTAAATCATAAAGAACAGTTACATGTTCAATGGGCACACATGATACAACGGAAGTTTTTGCTCAACGATATTTAAATCCCCAATAATCTGATCCGGACAATGACTATATTCCCATCCATGGTTGAAGTAATAAATAACTATCCCCCCGGTTTTCTAGACTCCTCACAAAACACAATCACTTCATAAAGAGTAAAGAAGTAGAACGTTTCTGTAACAACTAAAATCTGCAGTTGAAGAGAAAGCTTGTCCTACAGACAGTCTCCGTACAGCTGCTAACTTCATCCGGAATAATGACGGAAGTATGTTGGATCTGGACAAGACCTGGATTGAAGGGAGCTATATCTTGAAGTGCAGGCAGGATATTATATCCATGGGATGGAGCAACAACATCAGAACGGTAATGGACAATTAGGTTTTGTAAGATGTATGTTAGGTATGTTTGGTATGTTTGGTATGTCTGTGTAACTGTAAGTGTGGTACTTGAAATAGTAGTTGTGTTAGTAAATGTAGTTCATCTAGGTTTCCTTACAATTACATATATATAATTGAGGGTAGCAGTATCTTGTTAACATCTACACTCTACAGGTGAAAGGAGTGGATCTGGAGACTATAGATCAGTACTCTGCCACGGCCAGAGGTCAGCAGGGAGAGGTCATCGTGGTGTGTAAGGACGGCAAGTTCACTCCTGACATCTTCAGGTATGTGACAGTGCAGTGGTATGTGACAGTGGTATGTGACACTGTCAATGAGTGGAGAATTCAAAAAGCCTAGAATATTGAGCACCACTACTCGTTATGGTTATTCATTTTTAGTTATCAATCACAAAAGCACTGAGCTCGTTTCCATCCCAGTTACGAAGTCTCCACGTGGTGCGCCCAAGGGTGTAACAAAGTCCCGGAGGACTTTAAGAAGTTCTGGACGGTAACCTACCCCAGCAGTTCAATAACCCGGCGACTGGACCAGGCTCCAGTCAACATAGAGATCAACAATCCTGTCATTGTACACTGTAGACGAGGTATATCCGGGGTTTTGGCAGTTTGATATATTTTGTAAATTGACGTCGTACTGGAACGTGTGTCATCAATAAGACCATTCCAAGAATTTTTACTGTGGCTAATTTGGAACTGACGATAAAACACAATCCATCCTAATATAAGACTAATACCATTCACCAAAACCACCACCTTTCAGGGTACGCCCAGGCGACTGCAGACGAAGGAACCTCAGAGGCGTACTGCACAAACGCTGGCTGGTCACCGGCCATGTTGTACTGGCCCAAGTGTGTGGCGGGTTGTAGTGACGTCACGAGTAGTGTGGATCACGGGTATACTCTATCTGCTCCCAGTACCACTGCTGGGAAACCACCATTCGTTACAGGTACTACTACAGCTTACTACTCTACTAGTCTTAAACCAGCAGTACTGCTAATCGTTATAGATCTCGTTACAGATCTCGTTATAGATCTCGTAATAGATCTCGTTACAGATCTCGTTATAGATCTCGTTATAGATCTCGTTACAGATCTCTCTCCTTCTAACCTGCTCCCTTGTATTACAGGAGATGTTGTGGAGTTTGTTTGTAAGGAAGGTTTTGAACTATCAGGACAAAACTCCGTGACCTGCACATCAGGCCAGTTCTGGGACCACGACCCTCCAAAGTGTAGCCCTAAACCGGGCTCTACAGCCATCAGTGGGGCTATTCCTCAGGTTAGTGATGTAGCGTTATGGAGTGTGACGTCGCGTGAGTGAGTGTGAGGTCACGTGAGGGAGTGTGACGTCGCGAGAAACATTCTCAAACTCTCGCACCAATGTCATTACATAACCCCATAAATTAGTGCTCTAGGTAATGTAAAAAATTGAAACATTATATTGACGTTTATATGAATATCAGACTATAATCTTTATTCACTTTCAGGTTGTTGCAAGTCGGACACTCCTTCTATTCTTGTTTCTATTTACTGTGTGGCACTTCTACAAAGATATCTTCAATTCACTTCTTGTTCCACTGCCCAATCAACATCAGAGGTTGACAGAGATTTTGCAAAAATTTGATTGAAGTTAATTAATATAACAGCCCCATGAAAGATAGATTGAACAAAGTATGAAATATCTGTTTTAGCATTCACGTTAAAAGTCTAACTCTGGAATCTGGATTGGGTATTAAAAACTGTATTCTGAAAATTTTCCATGAATATTTGCCCAGTTTCATTGGGGGGGGGGGGGAGATAATGTATATTTTGTTTTTTTTGTTTAGGTGGAATTAATTTTTTGGAAAAAACAAAAAACAAAAAAACAAAAAAAAGGAAAAAAAGGGAAAAAAAGGGAAAAAACCTAAAAAAACCTAAAAAAAACTAAAAAAAAAAAAAAAAACAAAAAAAACAAAAAAGGTTTGTGTCTTTTGTCCGTTTGGTACCCTATATTTTCAAAACAGACAAAAATTAGAACGGACATAACGGACAAAAACTGTTACGGAAATAACATTTAAATGCTTTCTCCTCCTCCTTCTTACCCTCCTCAGTCTTCCTACTCATCCTCCCCCTCATCCTCCTCTTTCTCAGTCCGCCTCCTCCTCCTCCTTAGTCCTCCTCCTCCTCCCCTCCTTCTCCTCCTCATCCTCCTCAGTCTTCCTACTCATCCTCCTCTTTCTCAGTCCGCCTCCTTCTCCTTCTCCAAACAAGAAATGATTAATGCATTGAACCAGGGAACCAGGGACTGCTTGGCGACATCAAAAAAGCAGGACTTTCCTTTTTTAATCACGATGTTTCCGACGCCCCACAGAGAAAACGGAGAAGAATCGAGGAGGAGGAGGAGGAGAATGACGAGGAGAAGGATGACGGGGAGGAGGATGACTTCAGTGAGGAAGAGGATATGTCTCATGACGACCCGGTGCATGAGGAAGATTCCACAACTACTGCTAATACCCCATTAGGCCAGCTGCCTTGGTCACAGGCTGATAGACTATATTTGAATGCTGGTGGAATCCGCTTCAATAATCAATCTAGAAAGGGTAGAGTTGCGACCAAATCAAGAAGGCGTCTTTTTGAAGATACTGCTTTTTCAGAATATTTGGACCCGACCGAATGCTGTAATGAGGCCCTCAATCGAGGAGATGTTACAGTCCTGAAGAAGTGCGTTAGAGGACGTGCGACAAATATCCGTGTACGAGGTACTGTCCGGTTTATGTCTAAGAATCTGACACCAGTTTCTTGTGCTTGCCGAATCCACAACAGTGAAGGTGTCACAGTGTGGATCTTCGATCTTAAAACCAAGCAATATGTACGGTGTTTGTTTTGAGGCATTAATGTGACCTTATTATAGTTGAATTGACTGTTCTGTGGATGCAGTAATTGAAATTATGTTCCGCCTTCTTATCTAAAATTTCAAAAACTGAAGAATCCTCATATTACTGAATTTGTATTTCGGAATTCGTGAAAACAACAGACCGTATTCTTTAATTGTTAATTTTACTGTCGCTTCAAGTTTCATTACTATCATCTATTTGTGTTACAGTGCTGTCAACCTTATCTAACCCTTATCTCATGTGAAATAGCCAAAAACAATTTTTTGTTTTTTTTGTTTTTTTTGTTTAGGTGGAATTGATTTTTTGAAAAAAACAAAAAACAAAAAAAACAAAAAATACTTTATCTCCCCCCCTTCATTATATTCTAGTAATTTATTGTCGTATTACATTTTGTTTGATTTTTAAAATTGCCAAACCTTAAAATGCGTTGTCTCTGATTCAAAATAAAGTCAACACGGTTCTTCAAGCACAACAACCATACTTAAATAACGAAATACCTCAATAAAACGAACCTGGTGGCAGGTCTAACAGGAGTTGTGTTGTGCTCCTTGTTATCAAGCAGATTAAGTGACGTCATCAACACAGGAGTGTGAGTAGCCAGCCTGTCGGCAGTTCCACACTTGAAACCGTCCTTACAAAGCGAGGTCTGATCGTTGAGTCTCCAGATCCTGACTGTATTGTCGTCTGAACAGGATACTATCTGACCCAGGTCACTTGAACTGCTTGCTACGCTCGTTACTTCTCCTGGGGCGAGAGGACACTGTTAGCAATTAGAATACAGGGTTAACCAGGAAGTTGTGAAGTAACTGGTGAAAAGGAAGGAGGTTACCAAGTCGGTTCGGAATAGATATAGTTTGAATAAATGTGTTACTGTTCTATTCAAACCGGCAGTAACATTATTGACTTGACTTAAGGCGGCTTCGGCGTCCGAGTATTGATGCGCTGTCTCCATAAAACTCTATCCGCCATAAGTCCGCCCATTTCTCCAGTGTCGTTGAGACCCGTGTCAGCTCGTAGGCTATCGACATAAGTCATGGCTGGTCTCCCCCTACTCCGCACCCCATGAGTTGGTTCCCAGAGTAGCAAGCGGTTTGCGACTAGTTCTGGGTGCCGGTGGATATGGCCTGCTAGTCGCATCCTGCGCTCTTGGATCTTCATGGTTGCTCTTGGTAGGTTGCCATAGACTTCTTTATTGGTTTTGCGCTGCTTCCAATCCACATTTAGTGCCATCCTTAGCATTCTGGTGTAGCAGCCATCAATGCGTTTCTTCAAATGCTCTGTCAACGTCCACGTTTCAGAACCATAAAGAAGTATTGACTCCACAGTAGCAACAAATAGACGGATCTTTAGTCCTCTTCTAAGGTCAGACTTCCACATCTTCTTTAACTTGTGGCAGGCTGCCCAAGCCTTAGCTTTTCTGACCCGCAGGTCCCTCTCAGTTGTTGCTATCCATGCTCCAAGGTAAACAAAGTCTGTCACCTTTTCCAGCTGGTTTCCACCACAACTATTGAGACTACTCGCCTCCTCTGTCATGTTCAGAGTCATGAACTTAGTTTTAGTGTCGTTCATGGCTAGCCCAACACTCAGTGCTGCTTTCTCAAGCCTGTCCAGGAGTAGTTTTGCCCCTTCAATGGTATCAGTGATAAGGGCAACATCATCTGCAAACTCGACGTCTGCGATCTTCTCGGCACCAATCCTTCTACTCCGTGCAGGCCTGAGAGTGAACCCAGAGTCCGAGTCATCATCGTCTATAGTCACTGTCATGATATAGTCAATCACGATAATGAACAAGTACGGGGCAAGAGTGTCTCCTTGCAGTACTCCAGCCAGGATATCAAAAATCTCTGTTATACCATCAGCTGTAACTACTTTAGCCTTTGTGCTTGTATATATACCCTCAATGAGCCGCACTATGGCTTCTGGTATGCCATATGCTTTCAGTATCTTCATGAGCAAGCCTCTATGCACACTATCGAACGCCTTCTTGAAATCAATGAAAACCATGGTGGCCTTTAGGTTCTTGGCTCTAGCACCCTCCATAATTCTTCGTAGAGCAAGAATGTGCGATGTTGTAGAGCGCCCAGGTCTAAAGCCATTCTGGTTGTCCCTTAAAACTTCCTCAAGACTTGGCTTCATCCTGTTCAGCAACATTTTGTTCAGAGTTTTACTGACTATCGATGTCAGAGATATTCCTCTGTAGTTGTCAGTCTTAGTGAGGTCCCCTTTCTTTGGCACAGGAACAATATTACTGAGCTTCCATTGATCGGGCATGAGACCATCACATAGTGCATCGTTGCAGAACTTCAGGATGACGTCATCAATGTCCACCCTCTTCATCACTTCAGGTGAGATACCATCATCACCATAAGCTTTACCTTCTACTATCTGCTTTTTGGCAAGACGTAGTTCCTCAATGGTGAACGGGCCATCCTCTATATTCAGTGGAGGGTGTATATTCCTGATCGGAATATTATTGTCAGGGACTGTGGGTGGCTGTCCAAGTAATCCAGAGAAGTGCTTCCTCCAGTTCTCGAGACGTTCTGTTGAGCTGCCCCCTATTAACATTATTGTTTCCTAACTAAAGTAGTTAGTGTTAGTAAACTAACTAACTTAATAACTATTTAAACTAAGTAATTGTAAGTAAACTGACCAGAATGTCCGTCCAGTTTGACGGGTGGTAGGAGCGGGTGTTTTATGTCCCACACGAACAGAGAATGAGAACTAGATCCACTAATCAGGAACTCGTTGTCACGTGTCACGCAGCTTTTAACGTAGAATGTGGAGATTGTGTGGCCTGAGAACACTGCCACGGGGTCCCTGTAATTTATTGTAATTGTAATTGTAATTGTAATTGTAATTGTAATTGTAATTGTAATTGTAATTGTAATTGTAATTTTAGTCTTCATACTGATTTAAATAAAAAAGGTTAAATTTTTAGGAATGATTGCAATTGAATAAAACTAAAATCGTTATTGGAATTTTGCAAATGGCATCATTTCAATCGAAATTATGGAATGTAAAAATATAATCACAATATCAAGACTCTAACCTGGTGTCCAGGTGAGTGTTGTACATGTAGATGTTATCGTCAGTACAACTCGAGAAGAGTCGGGACCCACAACTCGTCAGGGACAGGGCTGATATCCCGTGTTTCCGGGACGCTGATCCCACGTACGGGTACACGTGCCTCGGCTGCAGGACACCTGACAGCGGGATAGGAGTGGTGAGTTCCATCACGGGAGAGAGAAAGAACAACTCTGGTTTTAAAACAAACGTGGTTATTCTGAGGCCAGCTCACCTCTCCCCCTGAGGCCAGCTCCCCTCTCCCCCCTGAGGCTAGCTCCCCCCCCTGAAGCCAGCCCCCCCCCCCCCTGAGGCTAGCTCCCCCCCCCTGAGGCCAGCTCACCTCTCCCTCCTGAGGCCAGCTCCCCCCCCCCCTGAGGCCAGCTCACCTCTCCCCCCTGAGGCCAGCTCCCCCCCCTGAGGCCAGCTCACTCTCCCCCCTGAGGCCAGCTCCCCCCCCCCGGCCCCCCCTCCCCCCTGAGGCCAGCTCACCTCTCCCCCCTGAGGCCAGCTCCCCCCCCCCTGAAGCCAGCTCCCCCCCCCCCTGAGGCCAGCTCCCCCCCCCCCCTGAGGCCAGCTCCCCCCCCCCCCCTGAGGCCAGCTCACCTCTCCCCCTGAGGCCAGCTCCCCCCCCCCTGAGGCCAGCCCCCCCCCCCCCTGAGGCCAGCTCCCCCTCTCCCCTGAGGCCAGCTCCCCCCCCCTGAGGCCAGTCCCCCCCCCTGAGGCCAGCTCCCCCCCCCCCCTGAGGCCAGCTCCCCCCTCCCCCCCTGAGGCCAGCTCCCCCCCCCCCTGAGGCCAGCTCCCCTCTCCCCCCTGAGGCCAGCTCCCCCCCCCCCCCCCTGAGGCCAGCTCACCTCTCCCCCTGAGGCCAGCTCCCCCCCCCCCCCTGAGGCCAGCTCCCCCCCCCCCCCCTGAGGCCAGCTCCCCCCCCCCTAGGCCACCTCCCCCCCCCCCTGAGGCTAGCTCCCCCCCCCCCTGAGGCTAGCTCCCCCCCCCCTGAAGCCAGCCCCCCCCCCCCCCCCCCTAGGCCACCTCCCCCCCCCTGAGGCCAGCTCCCCCCCCCCCCCCCTGAGGCCAGCTCCCCTCTCCCCCCTGAGGCCAGCTCCCCCCCCCCCCCCTGAGGCCAGCTCACCTCTCCCCCCTGAGGCCAGCTCACCTCTCCCCCCTGAGGCCAGCTCCCCCCCCCCCCCCTGAGGCCAGCTCCCCTCTCCCCCTGAGGCCAGCTCACCTCTCCCCCCTGAGGCCAGCTCCTCTGTCCCCCCTGAGGCCAGCTCACCTCTCCCTCCCATCTACCCACATCGTTACCCCTCCTAGCCACACACCTTGTTCCCTCGACCCCAACAAATACTATACCAAATAGCCCACCTTTAGCTGTAGTGTAGTATCTGCGAATGTCCCACATTTTAATGGTACCGTCCGCAGCACCGCTCGAGTAGAGGTTGTTCTCATCTTTAAATAAAACAGTGGTCACTGACTGTTGTGCTTCTGTATTACGGGAGCTGGAAAAAGGGATGTGTATTATACATTATAAATTATACATTATACATTATATATAAGCAATACACTTACATCCTAAGGTATAATAAAGTTATTATCATTTAAAAAGGGATCAAGAATATGTTGATTTGGCCTTTGGAGTGGGGGATCGTTGCCAAATGTAACAATTGACCGACGACCCCCTCTCTTTGACTTTAGTAAGGAAGGTTTGCTTCCCACACACCTGTTAGATCGTCTGTTTTGAGCGGGACCAGTAGTAGGCAGGGTAGTGTGAACTGCGTGTAGAATGTTAACTGGTTTGTAGTGGCCAGCTTTTAGAGGCCGAGTCCTCGTGTCCCAGATCATAACGTTACCATCACGTGCTCCTGTAGTGTGACGCGCATTGTGGAGAGTGTAATTATTGTTAATCTATGATTTAAAGTTAATTTTCATCATCCTTCTTCTTCAAATGTTTAGTATAAGTGACGACAATTGGCAGTGGTAAATTACCATTATATATATAACATGTTCATTAGATTTATTGGTATTAAAAGATAAATTAAATGGCACAATGAACAGACACTAACCTGTAGCGAACACAGCAGAGTGGTTGTGCTTGAAGGAGATACTTCGCAGACTACATGTGTGTCCCTTGAACACTGATATACACTTAGAAGTGGGAACATCCCACAACTGAGCCGTCTGATCGCCTGAACAACATATATTAATCACATATTAATCACATGTTAATCACGTACTAATCACATATCAATCATAAATTAATTACATATTAATCCTATAATCCTGCTGATAATCCCAATAATACCTGATCCGGTGACCAGTTTATCCTCGGTAGGAACCCAAGCAATGTCAAACACAGCGTTAACGTGAGCTTGCCATGTCTTTATACTTCCTCCCTTTCTTCGTTCAGTGTTTATCAGGTGTACCTGACAAATTACAGTAATTAATATTACTATATATAAAGCGAGACGATAGTTTTCCGTGCCATTTTACTGACACCTCGGCATCAACTTTAACGCGACTTTCCGCAAAAACCGTAAAAGATATACAACTGATACTTTTTTGACTGGGTCAATTGCTTTAATGGCCTCCAAATCAGCATGAAAAAAAAAATTGGACAAGGAATAGTGATTTTAGAGCCCAAAATTTGAAACCCCAAGTGGTGTCAAAAACGCGAATTAAATAGGTAATAATTATTTTAGTCTCTTGAGTCTTGACACCGTTTAGGGTTATATTATACGGGTTCCTGCTAGTTAGTGTAATTACTTTCTAATTAGTTACAATAAGTGGTCAGCAGCTTAAGTTTAATAGAGGGAAAACAAGTTTAAGATCAATATACCCAACATAAAATGCCTGCCACATTTGACGAAATATTCTGTTATGTGGTGAGTGATTTGGAGAAGAAGTTTACTTTTGTGGTAGAATAATAGAAAGATAAGCAATGAATGGAGCTAAATTTGTTAAGGTGAAGATCCCTCTAGCTGTATTCTCTGGTACTTTCTAAAGCGTCAATCAGCAACTTTCAATTTAACTAAAAGCATTAAAAGCCATACTTAGCCTAATTACGTTAACTTATTATAAGTTTAGTAAAATACAATGGAGAATACTGCCCGCTTTATAAGACTTCGTTGCTCAGATATATACTTTAAACTTACCACGAGTATAGTTTAACTAAAAGTTACATTGACTTTTTATTTGGCAACTTTGCAGTAGGTTTTTGCTTGATAGATTTCATTATTTTTGTTACAACGATATTCAAAGTTTTCAGGTTATAAATTAAGATTTTATTAGCGTCCCATTATACATAAGGCATAAAGGTAAATCACACATTTGATCACGTCACGTGACTGTTTTAAAAGAGTAATTGGGTTTAGAACAAGTACCTAGTCCGATTATCTTTTATTTGTTTTGAATGTTAGTTTCATTAGTCTTTAAACCTGCTCTTCTTTGTTCATATCATCATTAGCCATTCTTTAAGTCTAGGAATTTTAATCTACCAACAATCCAACCAACAAATGTGCAGTCTTAGTGGTGTCCAAGCCAATTTAAAATAATGAGCAACATAATTAGACGAGGCATTCAAATAGCTGAGATGCCAGTATGAGTTATTATATTATGTCGACAACCTCTGTCCAGCACTAGAACTAGCTGTTCACTACATCGTTGCTTTTGTTACACAGTTGCAGCGGAAATCATAGCCTTCTGACCGGATTTATAATTTGATCTCAAAATAAAGGGATACTCGTTACTCAGTACATAATACTTACAACTTTCCTAGTAATTGGCCATAATTCTAGTGTTACCATGGCCAGTTAAATTCCCAGAACGGCCAAATCCCGGCCCCGAAGACAATCCTGCCCAAAACTTCTTTCGGTCGACTCAGCCGACTACGCAGAATTAAGTAGTGTTACCCTAGATAGGACTACAAGTCATATTCAATCTGCATAAAATCGGTCTTTTCTATTAGATAAATATAACTTAAACAATTTCAATCCAATAGGTCTACCTACTGTACCAGCCAAGATAGACAAATGTGCAGTCTGGTAGGTCTACCAAACAAGATGAAGAAGATAATCCAGTACTTGCCACAAAGCCCTCTAATACTAGCAGGACTCCTTGCTCAGTTAACTTACGACCGTTTGGTGGTGTATTACAAGTGTGGCACACCATTTGTGTGTCAAGGTGACAAATGCCACTTCATCTGGATCCCGTTCGTGGCTTTCTCCACTATTGTGACGCTCTTGGTTGTGCACAACACTGAACCTGGTCACAAAGCTGTTAGAGGAGCCCTTGCTTTCTTTGGTTCCCTCATCCTTAACACCAGTGCTCCTGACGCAACTATATTGATAGCGGTGAGATGTTTCGGTAATGTAAGAGCTCAGACCGCTTTCCCCCATGATTATATGGGGACTGTGATTCTTGTTCTGGCGGCTGTTTTCGTCACTGTGATCTTCTTTCTGAGGCCACCAGAAGATGATAGGCCAACTCCTGCCATTATATCCCACATGCCTGACGCGGAGGTTATACTTACAGGAGTCTGTCTGCTTAGAGCGTACGAGAGATACGAAATATCACCGTGGCAGGACGGTAAGAGATGCTATGGGATCCCCATAGAGCTAGTCATCCTCTCTGTCATCCTCGCTGGGATACAAGCAGTCAAATCTCCTGGTCTACAATACAAAGCATCCCGTGGGATCCTGGCGTTTTTCTTATCCTTCATTGTGAACCTTTGCTGTGGTTATCGGGGATACGAATATATCACAGAACTTCGCAGTGAGACCTGCGATCTTTTGGATGGAAAATCTGACAAATTGTACATGGCAATGTCCTCCACTATCACAAGCCTGGGAGCACTGTTTGCAGCAGTTATTTTCTCGATAAGGATGATTCTCCAGACCGGACACAAGAAGAGGTTGAGTTTAGTATTGTCAGCTTTTAAAGGGAAATCTAAATTCGGGGGTGCGCTATAAAGTAGTGCCCATTCGCCAAGAAAGTGAAAGTTAGAGACACACAATTGTCGACACACAGTTGCCTCAATTGACTTCAGGAACGAATTTCCATGTAGACTCTTTAAAAAAATCGTCAGTGACTTTATCGTAGATCTGTATCATTTGTCGAGACTCAAGTGACAAACAAAATACATCAACAACGGAGTAGCTGCAATCATCTTCAGATCAACGGGATTGTATATTGTTTATTACCTTTTTAAACTCCAATCTTACCACCTTACCCTTTTGCTCAAACGTTATTTTTTGTCTTCTCTGTAACGAGAACTTGTATTAAAATATTTACACCCTAAAGAAGAATAATGAGTGGGTTTAACCTGAAAATTTGCGACCTAGAGATAAATTATAAGCAAGTTTTACCTGAATATTTCTGACTTAGCAATGAATGATGTGTTATTTTACTTATTTCCGACTTAACGATGAATGAGGTGTTATTTTACCTGATTATTTGTAAACTAAAAATAATACCTTGCCGTCCTCATTGGCTACAGCTACAACATGCTGTGTGTTTGATTGGGAGGAGTAGGAGCAGGAAAAGGGAAGAGGAACCACCCCTCCCTCCTCTGCTGCTGTCATGTTGTGCTCATCCTCCTGAAACAGATCATTAATTAGATAATTCGGCAATTAACCGAAATTACGGTTTGGAGACGATCCAATGATTTATTGTGAATGCCAGAAAAAGATGATATTAACATTGAATCGGTCTGATCAAGTATAGTTGGTTGGGCTGTGATTGTATCGACCATGAGTACCAAGCAAGCAGATATTTGAATTGACTAGATTTCCACTGGTAAGCGATTCGGAAAATCATGGGCCGGCATAGTGCCGGGGCGGGTATGATCCGCCAACCTCCGAGTTACATGCCTGGTGCTCTACCAATTGAGCTACCGGCCCTATTCAGCTCAGGAATTTCTTGCACGCCTATCAGTAAGCAATCGTGTTGTTATCTCATATCTGCTGCTATTAGTACACTGCATTATATGCAGCTGGGATACTCACTGCCATATTTGTGAGTGTGCATACTGTGTGTAATGTTATTAATTTAAGAGATTTGGTTGGGGAGGCGGGTTATCGTTGTGAAGTACTGTACTGCTCACGAAGTACTGTACACGATGTTTTCAACCCACGAGTCAGAGAGCAAGCTCAACTGACGGCTCCCAGATGGCGTATGCACATGTAGGTGAATCGGTCTGATCAAGTATAGTTGGTTGGGCTGTGATTGTATCGACCATGAGTACCAAAATCGGTTTTTAGTGTCCTCAAACAGAAAATATATTTTGAGCCCTTTGAGGCCGGAGGAGCAAGTCAAATAGATTAAAATTCTAAAACGATCAGAGTCTGAGTCTGAGTCTAAGTCTGAGTCTAAGTCTGAGTCTAAGTCTGAGTCTAAGTCTGAGTCTGAGACATCTGTACAGGACCTATTCCCACCCACTTTGTAACAATTAAAGTTCTCGAATATTCTGTAAAGAGTGAGACGAGGCTTGACGGCCTCACTGTCCCAGGACCCATACACTTCACGTGACCTAACACTGGCTAGGTACGACATCACGTGATATCACACTGCATTTCTCATCTTCTAGGTCGCATCTTTCATCTGACTGTACGTTATCTTTTATACGGTGTACATGCTTGGAAAAGTATTAGATGTTAGTCAATCAGGTTTTATTAAATGATTAGGATGTTCGGAAGATAGAAGAGAAATTGTGAAATCAAAAATTAATTTTGTCATGTTTTTTTACTTATTTCGTAGCAAAGTAAAAAACAAACACGTTTGGAAAATTCGGGAAAATATTTACTCTTCTGATGTAAAGTAAACAAAAATGAAATATTAAATATGACATAACCAAGAAACGGAATATTAAATATCTTAATCATGCTAATGTAACCAAAATCATGTAATGTAACTAAAATCACTTTAATATCATGTTAAATATTATTGATCAGTAACTGCTATTTAAAGTTATCTATTAGTTAGCATAGAATCAAATTGAAATAACATCACAAAGTTGTATCATATAATGGAAAATAACATGAAAATGCAACCTAGTTATCGATAAGGATACAAATTCAAAAAGTGTCTAATATCAACTAAATGTTCTGCAACCGCACTTTTACAACCTTATATCTTACGCAAAATTTATTAACTCATCCAAACTCAAATCTGGAAGGCATACTGTATCCTTAAATTGTGTGACTTAGTATGATCAAATTATTTATGATTTAAACTAAATTTGTGATTCTCAGTTTATCGGCCCAGAAATATTGGATGCTATTTAAGGATATTACTGAAAATTGTCGGCCTGTTTCTGCATTATAATCCACATTTTTTTCGCTAAGAATTTTTGAAACAGTTAATAAGCATGTTTTAGATTGTGAAAACACGGTTACAGTTTTTATGAGCACTTAATTCCAAGTATCTTAAAATAAAATTAGGTAATAAACATAGCTCAAATAACTTAAATCATTCTTCAAATCAATAATGATCACAATAATCTTAATCTTAATATTTCAGAATAGCAGTTTAAATAAAACAAAACCATGCTCCGTGACCGTCGTAATAAAAGAAATTCATAATAATTCATCAATTTTCAAAATGTTCAATCATCGTTAATCATCATTAATCATCATTAAATCATGAAATAAAATAATGTTCAAATAGCTAAGGACGGTTTATTTTACTGATATATGAACGATGTAGCAAATAACAAATTTAAGTAAATGTAGATTAATCAATATTATCAATTTAAATTTCAGCCATATTAAATATTTTAATCACATGCACGGATACGACACGGGTCGCAAGTATTTTCCAATTCTTGAAAATAATCGAATAATTAGTTATACGATAATTGTTTTAAGTATAAAGCTAATAACCCTAACATATGTAAAACATATCCCCAATTAATATCATGTATAATGTATATAATATATCTTCACTCTAATGTAACCCCGGAAGTTAATCATTGTCCGTAATGTGTAGTAACTTGTCATATCTAACAGTAAATATTACCATTTAAATAATTGTAAAGCCGCTGTTCACAGCTACACGACAGGTCACACTCAACAATTATTTTATTCCTCCCAGCTTCACTATCAGTTCCACAAGGACCACCGTGGTGAATAAATCATCAAATATGTAATAATTATACCTATGATTCAATAACTAACATATTTATCAGATCCACAGAGCAAGAAGAGTCATGAGAATGAACCCCAGGACAAGAGAAAAGCATTTAGGAACCATTAGTTCTGTATCTCGTACTATCTCGTCAGGTATGATGTCGTTTATTGTGACAAATATAAACGTTCCTGCAGATAGAGAGTGAAACTAAATACTCTGTATCTCAGAGTCCCCATGACCTAGCTAGAGGGGGTAAACGTGAAACAGCTAGTGTTTGAAAAGCTTGCCATTTAAAATTCGAAATTGTAATAGAATTAAATGAAAACTTAAAAATTGAGAGGTCAGCTTTTCGCGGCTATGTCATGACTGATGAAAATAATTGAAGAGTAACCTGCAGCAATGGAGAGACAAATACCAGACCAGAGGGAGGATTTGACTTGAGAACTTACTATCATACCCAGTAATGTACCAGTGGGAGTACTGCAACTGTAACATATTCACTTTCACTTTCTCTTTCGCCGTATTTAAGAAGGACCGATCAATTAGTTTTGAGATTAAAAGATTCAGCTGTTTCAAAAGAACTATATCTGGTGCTGGTTAATTAGGGGCTTCGACAGTTTTAATAACAATCTCATGTTTAAAAAGAGTAATTAATAAAAATAATATAGTTTCCTCACCTAAAAATGAGCAGAAGTATAAACATGTTGAATTTCTTTATTTTTGCACCTCTGAAGGTAAGTGTTAGGGCCATGGCTGCCAGAGATTTGTGAGCAGATATCGGGATCATAATCTGCGGGTAATTGTTATCATAATCACGCTTATCAGACTCATTGATAGTCGATGTTTCACTGCCATCACGTGAAAAAGTTACAGAATAACGCAAATAACTTTTCAGCTAAGTTAGCTAAGACAATAAACAGAGGAATTGGCTTCCATGAGTAAATCAAATATTCATAATATTTATATCGCATCGTCATAGTCCCATACTTTAAATTCCTCAGCAGGATCGGGCTGACTCCCAAAAGCTACGCCCGCAAGGAAAGAATGTATACTGAGAACTCCCATCAGTAAAGCTGAAGATCTAAGACCTGCAATACAAAGAACCTCAAGATTGTAGATTAAAGGCTTCAAATAAAAAAAAACAAAAAAGTGAAAGTGAAATATGCTCAAATTAAATATGAAAGTGAAATATAGTGATAAACATAAGAAAAGCTTCCGGACCTGATTTCTGGAGTGAAGCGATGAAAATATCACCCTCGTCGGTATGCCTGTTTGTTTGTGAAGGCTCCGTGTTTTCATCTTCACTGTCATTATCTGGTATCAGTTGGATCTCATCTGTTTTCTTCTGCTTCCTGGTTACAGATATGATCGTAATAAAAGGATCCTAAAAATACACCGCACGAATGTCTAATATTCTAGAATATAATATCACACAAAGAGTGTAATTTAGAGGTACCTGTGCAGCTTCTCTCCAAAGTATCCGGTGACAGATACATGTAAGATGAACAGGAAGATGTAGGTAGTGCTAGTGAGGATCAGAGCCAGCAACTGGCCATGTTCTTCAGAGTGCCGTCGTAAGATTATCAGAGAGTCACTCAGCAAGTGGATCATCCCGCCGGCAAACAACACTGAAATCAGTACAGAACATTAATCAATCAGTGCAGATAATTAATCGATCAGGTAGGCTATTAAAACTAAATCACAGTCGTAAGTTGTTGAATGATGTGAGGAATTAGGGGACACGTGATAGTAAAAGTCATGTGGTGAGAAATTTACCGCGCATAAAATTGTAATTGCGCACAAAATCTATAAAACGCATTGAAGCGCGTTACATAAAAATATTGGGAAGACCCTTTCAGTGAGGGTTTTGAGCGTTACTCTGTATTACTTACTGTGTATATTATTTCTAAAGTTGTAAATATAAACGCATCAAACTATGGAGATTAATTTTCACACTGATGTTCATTTGTAATACAACCAACTCGTACATTAACACTAAGTTTCTATGCAGTGCGCAGAATGTAGTTGTAGTTACTAGTTGGTCGAGACACAGCTACACCTATCATAATACATACGTGAAGATCAACATCACGTTAGTTGTAAATGTGCCAAACAGTTGAGCGTGTGATAAATAAGTTTAAAAACTCGCTGGGCTAGTTTGTATCAGGTAATAATGCCAGTTATAACATGCAGATTGGTAGTGCGTCCTACAACCAATCTCAAAAACATTAAGGCTTTGGTTTTCTCATCGATGTATCAATGTTACGTCTTGCTAGCTGTAGCCAACCCAATTGTTGGATATATAATACATATAAACGTAAAACGTATAAATATGTTAAATTTATCGCATTAAGGGGGGGGGGGGGGGGTTCACCCTGATTTTTTTGTGAAACTTGGTTTCGAGATAGCAGTTGACCAACAAACAAGGACCGGTGACCGAACTTCTGAGGGGGTCCCGGACCCCAACCGCCAAACGGTGCCCGCGGGGCAGCTACGCCCATATTTGGTCCAAATTAGGCCCAATTTAGCCAAATACCCTCAACATGCCTAAAACCCAGATTTTAAGTGCTTTACTTGTAGCTAGTGGTCCCCTGAACTCGTATATGAATTTTCATCAAGATTGGACAAAAAATGACTGAGTTATGAGCCAAAAACCATATGCCCATATTTGGGTATACGCACCAAATTTGGTCGATTTTGGCCCATAAATTGGTCAAATATCAATATTTTTGAATGAAACCAACTTTATATGGAAGGTAAGCCTATACTACACATTATCTATGATTATCAGCTCAGTATCTACCTAACTGTGGATTCTGTGTTCAATTAATCGCAAAAAATGAACATAATCGCCCATATCTCAGTTCGCGATATTTGCGAAACTGATTTTGTTCAAAACAATAGAACTCAATAGGGTTTCCATATTTTTACATGAAATTTTCAGAATCAACGTAGAATCGCATTTCGACCTTAAGTTTTAATATGGAATTTTGAGTTAGGCCTTTAAAAAAATTTGGGGCATTTTTCAGAATTTGGCCGCCAAATTTGGACCAAATATGGGCGTGGCTGCCCCGCGGGCACCGTTTGGCGGTTGGGGTCCGGGACCCCCTCAAAAGTTCGGTCACCGGTCCTAGTTTGTTGGTCTGCTATCTCGAAACCAAGTTTCACAAAAAAATCAGGGTGAACCCCCCCTTAAGGACCTAATGTTGATATTAACACCTAATTGTAATAAGCATGATAAGTGTGATAAACGTTTGCTATAGAGTATCTATTGATAGACACTCTGATGCTGTACAATTATCAATAATTGTGTTTCAGAGAACAATTTTGATCATCCATGGGCTTTAAAATGGGAGGTGGCACCTGACACAGAGTTGCCCGTTTCATTGGTCGCTTCTTAAAGCTGATTGGTTAATCGCTGTCACATGCATTTAAAACTTCCCGCCATTTTTCAAGTACATTAACCACCACCGATCAATTACCACCACAAGATTGTTCATCAGAAACTAACGAGTTAATTACTGGGTGACTGATTACTAACGAGACTGATTGCTAATTAAGTTGTTAACCTACTGTCCATCACAGTATTATTATTAACTTACTTCATTACACTCTAGCTCACGATGTAAAATTACAACAACATAATTACAGGCTCGTTTTAAACAGTGGTAGATACCGAGTAGTGTGCTATGATGATTAGGCTATTACTGCGTGTAATCTTGAAATACTAACGTCATATCATGTACACTGCCACGAAGAATTACTTGCCTGGAAATACTGTGTGTAATTTGTGTGATCTTAAATTACAGTACTGAGGTCTGAAACCATTTCAATATAAATGTTAGAATTGGCAGGGAAAGATTTCTATAAAAATATTAATTGTTGCTGTTCCAAATTATGTTCATTAAGTGCTAGATGAAGGGCCTGAGTCAAAGTTAGCTGAATGAATGAGGCCAGGGATACTTTAATGACGACGAATGACGATTGGAATTTCTTGTGCCATATACAAATGTAAAATAATAAACTTACCTCCTCCGGCGAATAGATTCAGACAAGAGGTTGCTTTTGGACTGCATTTTTCAACTGTGATAGCAACGCAGATTCCAAGCCAGGCAAAGGAAAATGTTATCAGCATCCCTGCAAAATGATACCCCTGCTCTTCCCATTCTGGTAAGGTCATTATACCGCATTCCTAGAGAGATAAGACAGTTAAAGCCGACTACAGATCACTTGAGAGGCAACATATTAAAGTGCAGAACCACACTACTGAACTAACACCGCACTTTTTTGCACCATCTGCCGTTATTCGTTCTAATACTAGATTTGAATACTTCAACCCTGTGCCCATAACTATGGTTCTAGCCTCTAGGGTCACACGGAAAGTGTTACTTTTTAAAATCAGGAAAAACATTTACAGAAAGTATTATTATTATCAGATAGTAAGTTGCATTGATATTAATGCCAGATGCATCGATTTTTAATACTATCGATACAATGACTTAAGGCATCATGTAGCCTCCAGATTCGACAAACCCCGACAAACCCCGACAAGGGGTTTTGCCTCGGGCCCCGGCCTCGGGCCCACCGGCTACTTGAGGCCTTCTTGTGTAGTGTTTTTCCACGTAAAGCTTGATGACTCCGTCTCGGCTTTTTGTTGGGAGACTCCAGGCTCGACAAACCCCGACAAACCCCGACACACCCCGACAAACCCTGACAAACCCCGACGTGTCGAGATATGTCGTATCATGTCGGGCCCACCGGCTACATGATGCCTAACTTATCAATTTGGAGCGCAATCCCTCGACAGATTGAAATTATGTCACTTTATTTTAGTCGTGACGTAATTCGCTTATACACATTACACAATGTGTTGGAATCTTATACAAGGGTCGACCGAGGCCGAGGAAATTTTGCTTTGATAAAACCGAGGCCGAGGCAAACCGAGGAATTGTCCTCCTGACCGAGACCGAGGCCGAGGAAAAATCGCTATTCCTCGGTAAAACCGAGGCCGAGGACTCGGTCGACCCTTGATCTTATATTGTTGTCATAAAGTTGAAATATTGAATACTTCAATTTGGCTCATCACCAGCTCAACTAGCCCCAACTATCCTGCCCATTAAATTGTAAAACCTTCTATGAGGATAATTCTATAAGATTATACATCTTCAATTGTCAGGAAACTCAGTTTAAGACATTACGCAAGAGACCTTGTAAGTTAATTGTCGTCTTAAAAACAATTTCGTGTAAGACAACTTTATATACTACACTGTTGAATAATCCAAGCTGAAAGAACTTAAAGGCTGCAAATTTGCCGCACATAAAACGTTTGGGTACAGGGTCGTTCACATATTACGTAATCAACATTTTAGCAATTTTTACCCCCCCCCCCCCCCCCCTTCTGACAGCAAAATTACGTAATCATGACCTGACCCCTCCCCCCCCTTTTTGACTTTTTTCTCTACGTTTCATGCTACCCTGATCATTATGAGCCGAAATCATTGTTATGATATCCGGCCAAGCACCTTCCAAACTACTTACTTTAGCAGCCGGATACCCAATCCATTCCTAAAATTTATCACTATCAGAGTGAAATTGAGTGGAATTTGAGTTAAAATATTGTCAAATTGTTATTATTCTAGAGGGATTGTTATTATCCCCGTAATCATTTGGGAACCCCCTCCCCCCTCGGCTGATTACGTAATATGTGAACGACCTCTAAGTGCGGAATCGCACTATCCACAAAATATTATCACACCTACATGTTGCCTCTGGGATGAAATATAACATATTTTGTTCAATTAACAAAGCTTGTTGTCTTAATTCTTCATGAAAAGCTCACATTTTCGACTTGTACAAAACAAAAAATAACATCACGATTTATCACTAAGTTAGTATGTAACACAAAATGTACTGAATAAGTAAATTATTCATGACATAATAATACAGAATATTCTAATTTAACGTGCACGACACGATATAACTCAATAAAAATGGTGACTTTATAACAGTCAAACTTTAATTTAACTCTTTGCATATTTCTTTGTGAAATAGATCGAAGGACCAAATTATAACACACACAATACGAACACTACCAACTTGGAGAACGGTAAATGAATTAAAGAATATAATACTGCACAGAAAGTGAACGACCAAGTAAATAATAGCCCTCATCGGAATAAAAGGCTGACCGGGTATTAAATTTGTACATCCAATATTTGCTTTATTCTTTTGCTTAACTATCTAATAAAAACTTTACAACCCCACCATTTGATGAAAATAGAGGTACACATTGAATGGTAGGCTTCAAACAACTCAAGGTGAACAAGTCGATATTAACAAAGGGGGTTTCAACTCACAATAACTATTTACAATTTGACAGAGTTATAATTGTGTCATAATTTGTTATAATTGTGTGTCATAATTTGGTTCTTCATTTTATTTCACTCTATGCAAAAATAGATATTTCAACCCACAATAATTATTTACAATTTGGAATTACAAACCTTTTCAAAAAAATGTATGATAAAAAATATAAAATGTATGATAAATGTAACTTCATGCGATATTAAGATCTTCATCTGTCTATTCAAATGATACCTATAATGCAAATTAGAGGTAAGTTAAGATAAACGGTAACATCAGCATGCTCGAAAACCCTGGCCTGTGCAGTTAATTCAATGCCTATGTATCATGGACCATTTCTGAAATATCAATAAAAATCCTGGAATCAAAGATCAGAACCCCGGTGAATCTAGAATCTTTGCAAGATAAACAATAACCGATTTCTTTATAATACAACTGAGTCAAATCCATTTTATCTGTGAGAAGGAACCGGCTATTTAATTTAATCCACGAGCTTGGTGGATTAAGACAGGCAAACGTTGTTATGATTTTATTGTGTCTGTTTACCAACCGGGCAGAGAAAGTACAAGGATAGTCTTGGGTTCCTGATATCCAAACACTCCAAACTAAGTAAACATTACATTCTGTGATCAGCTTCTGAGTGATTGCTCCTTCATCAAAAAGAAGATGTTGCAATCTGAGGAACCTTTTGTTGCGAGTTTTGATGATCCCATCGGAGGAAACTTTATAAGAGCCAAGAGTTGTAGCCCAACAAGATACACCACTAGTAAAGAAATTGTTTTTAATAACATTTCCATCTTGTTTATCCAAGTGATAGCTTATACCAACTAAACTTTTCAAGCACCTATCAGGGAGAAAAAACAGTGATTTCATTGCTAAAGATGATTTCAAAATGACTTTTATCCTTAATTGCCAAAAATGCCGATTCCATATGATTATGTTCCACTTTTTGCATACAAGCCTGCATCTTGAAATTTCTGAAAAAGAAAGATTGGCTAATATGATAGAGATGACCTCAATAGGCAACATATCAATTAATGATATATTATACATGAATCTGTCTCATACTGTAAAGATGAACTAGGAAGATATCTGTCATGGGGAGTCCACCTTTCTCATATATTTTTAACTATTTTCTTCTTGTCTCATCAACCTAGACATGATAAGTTAATAATTATAAACAATCAAGTTTCCTGCAAATCATGTAAAACCTGAAAATCTTATGCAAACATATTGAAAATGGTTGAGTTATTTCACGTTAAAGCAAGAGGCTAGGGGGAGGGGGATATCACTTTTTTTGTTTTTACATAATATGTGATCGAACTGCTGGAGACAAACAAAGATAAAAATATGAACTCACTGAGATGTTCTGCGCCAGAAAAATCGACAGTAAATAAATCTAGAAAAGTGGTACATAGCAATTTAGTTTAAATTCGACTTGGTTCTTTAATTATGAAGTTAAACATTTCAAAAAAGGATAAATTCAGATTGAGGTACTGGAAGCTTTGATGTAAGGAAAATTATTGAAATTTCCTAATGGTAGGACATGTTCAGATTTCAGCTTTCCGCGACCCAAATTTCATTGTTTTGACTGAATTTTTCTTGAATGACCATCTTACAAGGTCACTGAGGATGGCACAAGACACCATTGAGGTACTCAAAGTTCTATTCCCAAAGAAAGCTTTGATAAACAGAACATCATCAGAATATGAAAAGAGATTATGTTTACTGATAATACTCCTGGCCATCGCTCAATTAAAGCCTTATCAGCACAACACGCACAATCACATATCATCAACGTAGTTGATCTCAACGCATCATAATAACAACCACGCGCACACACACCCACTTACCACTACACAGTACCACACAGAGCCCAGCAATCAATTCAAATAACGCCAAGCCGATTTTGATAGAATAACATCGTGATCCAGCGTGATCAATTGTTTTAATTTTAATTGAAGTTAAACGGCTGCACCCCTGACTTTTTAACTAAAGATAAGAGACGTATATATTAGGACATTTGTAGTCTGATAAAATTTAAAGTTTTGGTGTGAATTAAAGCTTGGTGTGAGAATTAGTGTGGAAATAAAAGAGATTCATTTTATTACATCATATATCTTAATTAAGTGACAGTAAGTATTATTATTTTAACTACAGATTATATTATTTCAGTTAGTATTGACATGAATGTTACGATTTCAGTTTATTTATATATTACATTGTCAATAAACCGGTTTCAAAGCCCTTAAGGGTGGCCCTCGGGTCTTTAAAACAAAGGGGGGGGGGGTACCACTGTCCATTTTGTCCATTTTGTCTTTGTCTTTTTTTACATTTTTTTGTGAAGGACAGTGTTTTGGGGACAAAATGGACAATACTAGGGACAAAAGGGACAAAAGGGACAAAAATTTTGGACAAATGAGACAAAAAATTAGACAAGCTCAAATGTAGAGAATGTATATATTCTACTCGACATCAACAATTTAGATTTTCATGTCAGTGTTTTGCTGTACTTAGAATCAACTGAAACCACTGAAGGGACTGAAATAAGCAGAATTCATCAACGGCATCACATAAATAAATGTGTACACGGTTCAGTCAATATTTCATTAATCCCATTAATCAAGTGGTGATATCAAAAAAGTCATCATCTTTTAATATCATAACGCTCATAGCGGCCAGAAGCAGATACCCAGACCCACACAATTACTTTTCCATTAACAATATGCCGACAATATCGAGCTAATGGGTATTCGCTTTTTCCTATGAAGTAGGAGAAAAAGCATGCCCGTCCTCTAATCAAGATTTTCTTATTCCTCCTCTTTTTCCTGAACATTTGTCTCGTTTGTCCCTGTCCTTTTTGTCCATTTTGTCCATTTTGTCCATTTTGTCCCTGTCTTTTTGTCTTTTTTGTCTTTTTTGTCCCTATTATCTTTTTTTGTCCCTTTTGTCCCTCTTGTCCCTTTTGTCCCTTTTGTCTTTGTCTTTTTTCAGTTTTTTTTGTGCAGGGATAAAATGGACAGTGGTACAACAAACAAACAAACAAGAGGAGCTATTCTGCCGTCCTCTTGACCAAAATTTCGCGGTTTTGACTGAAATTTTGACCATTGACCGGTGAGATGGACACAGGTCGCCATCAAGGTACTGGAAGCAGTATATCTGGAGAAAACTTTGATGCAATGAAAATTTTGAATATGTCCTACCAGTAGGACATATTTTAATTTCAGCTTTCCGTGACCCAAATTTCGCTCTTTTGACTGGATTTTTCTTGAATGACCATCTTACAAGGTCACTGAGGATGGCACAATACAATCTATTCCCAAATTTTGCGGTTTTGACTGAAATTTTGACCATTGACCAATCAATCAGGTTGGTGAGATGGACACAAGTCGCCATCAAGGTACTGGAAGCAGTATATCTGGAGAAAACTTTGATGCAATGAAAATTTTGAATATTATTTGACTTTTTTGAATAACGCAAAATCTACAAGGTCTCCAATTTCCCTCCTAGGGAGGAAACGCTATTTTTACAAGAAGGGCATTTTGCAAATACTGGTAGTCACTATCTCTTTTACTCTTGGAGATGACCCAAGCCGGTAAGGTTTCCTGGGGCTACCTGGAGAACATGCTGAAGTAAGTCGCGTGATAGTCGAGTGTTCAGCTCAGTAGTGTCAAGGCAGTAACACTGACTGTGAATGATTTTGAATTCAGCTGCTAATGTGTAACATAAACAATATAAATATATATATATATATATATTTCGTTGCTGTACTCCTACTACATATACAGGGTGGGCCAAAAGTCAGTACCCATACGTTGGCCTTAATAGCTCCACCGTGTTTTATATTTGAGAGCTGTTGCTTTGCAGATGGCATACTGTACTTACTGGTTCGAGGATTCCGTCGTCAAAATTTGAAAATACAAATATTTTAGATCACGCCCATTCAATATTAAAACACCTATATTGTTTTCTCTGAACATGCTGAACGCCTAATTTTTTCAGAGATGGTAGATTATCAAATGTTGCATATGATCTGAAAACATGAGGCAAAACGGATTAGAAATGACGAAGTTATCAAGCATTTTGTGTATCTCGTTAACAAAATTGACTGGGTGATTATGTGACACCGTGACACGACACCTTAATTGGGCACCCTTAACAATTCCCATAATGTTTAACGGGGTAGTTAACGGGGTCACCTTATCACATGATTAGGTAAACCAATCACCTGATCACACGTAATGAATAAACTCGTTATGCTTCATATCTCGGTCATCTGAGAAGCTACAGTTCTAATTCTTTCAGGACAAACGTAATTCGAATGGCCAAACACAATTCAATAACATTGAGCTTGATCCGACTATCCAAACTATCAAATAAATGTGAAAATGAACCTCCATTTGAAAAAAATGAACGCGAATATTTTTCGAGTTGACAAATTCCTCGAACCAGTGGTGGTACTAAGTCATACCAGAAAGAAGTATTTAAATTCGGCACTCAGTGACTGACCTATAAAGGCCAACGTATGGGTACTGACTTTTGGCCCACCCTGTATATATATACATTCAATTAAATCAAGTGATACAATTGGCAAAGCACAATTACAATACACAAGTAACAGAAATTGTCCACTGCTACAAATATTATATATGAAATATTAACAATCAAATATATACACGTCTACTCCATCATATTGGCAGGGATGAGGTTGTAAAAGACTTCTGATAAAGTGATAAAGTGTTGAGTGATTAATCGTCATCCTGAAATTTACAATCAAAAAGTACTACCTTACAAGACATATTTATGGCGGCCTAATTTGCGACGACCGAAATTTTGGCGGTCCGAAAATATGGCGAAATTGAACAAAAACCGTCAAATTTCGGACGTCACAGAAAATAAGGGTATTTTTCATCATTTTTTGTGACAGTAAGCAGTAAGGAAATTTCTGAAATTCGGTAAAATCATGTTCAAACTTAGTCTGTATTAAGACTGTAAGACTTTCATGTTAGCACATACATGTATTTTAATGCAAATTTAAACTGTATTGCTTGACATTCAATTGGTGATAATTTGTCCCAAGATGCCAGAATTTATTTATTTTACTCGATATTACTTTTTAGAAACAAAATAAAGCAGTGAAGGCAGAGTCATTGAAATAAGCTAAAAGATAATGCGACGGATTCTATTACGACGACCGAAATTTTGGCGGTCCAAAAATATGGCGAAATTTTCGGAAAACCGCCACATTTCGTACGTTATAATAATATAAATATGTCTTGTAAGGTAGTTAAAACAAACCAGTCATAATCTGATTGAGTCGTGTATTATTATATATTATTGGGTTTCATGATTTAATGTTTCTTCCATTCGAATTTATGATTGTTTCGATTCTGATACAAGGATACAAGGATGCAAGGATAAAATGATACAAAAGTGATAATTACTTTATTAATAATTGAGTACACAATATAAATAGTTGTAATTCTGAAATAATTTTAGTTAAACAATTTCAATTATTCAAAGATATGTTAAAATAATTTACTTGATTATGCTTTTTGAAAAATAAATTGAATTTGTAGAGTTCAATTTTATTTTGCATTTTGAGGTCCTATAGTATTATGGCTTATGTACTAAGGCCAGTAATATCTGAGTGGAAATATGGGCTCTTTATAAATTAGGCTGTCAGTTTAAACATAATTTTTTGTATGTTGTAGTGCGATGCAATATATTGTATATTGTACATTGTATATACTGTGCCGCGCCGCGCATTAGATAATGTTTCTCGCAACCAAAATCTTAACGGTTTATGATCGGCAAGCTGCACTATTGGGCCACGCCGAGCTACGAAGAATTGACACCGTGAATCAATTATCATCCGTGATATATATAATAATGATATTAACATTTAACGGGTGATAGTGATACCCGTAAAATATTTAGTCCAAACTAGGCTCCAAATTAAGCAAATATTACCTGGGGACGCCCGACGCCAGCCTGTAATGTTCATAGAATAGAGATTCGGCGGAATGAAAAGCTGAGCGCCGCCCGCGCCAAGCAGTCTGCAGCAAATCCAAATATTGACCATCAACGAGTTAAGTCTAGAGTCCAACTCAGCGCGCGTTCGTGTTTGTTTAGGTTATTATTATATTAATCTACAATTGTGATACAGCTAAAATTAGGGGTCGTTTATACTTGTATCACGTTGCGACCCCCACGGTCCCTTTATCGTCCTGACGATACAGGGGGAGCCGCGCACTTCGTGCGCGGCGGGTCATACAACGTATGACAAGTTTATACATATTACGTAATCAACGTAGGGGGGTTCCCAAATTGCAAATTATTTATACGCTTATAGATTTGACCATTGTTAATGATCTGGCCCGGCGCGCGCTACTTCGTAGCACTTGCCGTCGGGCCAACATTTCGAGAAGAAAGCGGCGCGCGTTACTAGTAGAATAAATTTAGACGAGTAACATCCGTACGTCAAGCTTATAGTGCAATTTGGACACAATATAGCTATATTATTATTGTTGTCATACGTTGTAGACCCGCCGCGCACGATTGCGCGCGGCTGTATATAATGTATCGTCGTCACGATACAGGTTAAACGACAATGGGGGTCACGACGTGATACAAGCTATACTGTATGTGTAAAACTGATTTCGATTACGGAGGGTGGGTTATACCTTGTACGTACCTTGTATCTTATCTGGGGACCTCAGGCTATTATGTTCAATATTAACATATAGAGGTTCGGCGGAATGACAGGCTGAGCGCGGCTCAGTAACTTGTATCACGTCGTGACCCTTATTGTTGTATCTGCATGTCACGCGTGCGCGGCAGGTCTACAACGTATGACAACTTGTACCTGGGGACCCCAGGCTATTATGTTACGTGACAGTCGAGTGTAGCCAGAGTGATTAATCATCATCCCTTAATTAAATGCTAGATCACGTCAATGTCGCGCAAAATGCAGAAGATTAATAAGTTTTCCGTAAAACACGTGTATTACTATTAAATTAAGCCATCTACAAAGTCATTTAATGATAATATATCAGTATTTAACCGAAAGAAAAATGATTCAATATCATTTTCATTCAATAACATTATCACACTGAACTTGAAATGTATTTAGAACGTTAATGGTTAAAGCTGCAAAGTTCAAAGTTTGCATAACTAATAACTTGAAACAAACATTACGTAAACCACTAATACCACAACTAAACTTTCAAAACACATTAAATTTAAATTCTGAGGCCTAAATTTTTAAAAGCGAAAATTCACTGCAACTGAGCATCGGAAAAGTTGATTTATATTTAGCAGACTTAACGTTAAGTTTTACCCAGTGTACGTAAAACTCTTTATCCGACACAGGAATTCATGATACTGTTAAAACAATATATTAGGTCTGTCAAGATTTTGGCTTTGCAAACAACCTCTTAAAACTGTATTTTTTAACAATTAACGGTACCCGCAATTAAAATCAACCTCATTTTTACAATTCACATTTCACAATACAAATCATCGCCATTCAAAAGCTTAACGTAAAGGTAAAAAAGTTATGCAGCGATTTGCTCTTTTACTGATTAACACAACTCATATCAAATGAAATCAACTGATTCAAAAATTTATCTGCAACTTTTGAAAAATAATCAACCCAAAATTGTTATACATAATTTATCTTTAAAATCATTATTAGACCCAGTACCAAAAATGGTGTAAAAAAGCTCCGACATTTAAATATAATTCAAACAATTCTATTATATTTATATAGATATCATATTGATAGTTTCTGCTGTTTTAGTTGATACACTAAGATATTGCTGCTTGATAAAGCATGTCTGATAAGATCTCGTGAAAGTTTTCGAAGCCATCATATCCAGGGAAGTAATTAATGTCGATGATTACAGGTTTTTTTGAGGCACTTTCCAGTATTACGTCAAATCCAAATAATGATAGATTCTGAAAATAAGGTTTATGTCAAACTCAAATGTCATGCTTGACATACCAAATGCAGAGAAAAGCTATTGGATTGGGCATAACATACGAATAAATAAACAGTAGCAAATAAACTCGAATAACGTGAAAGTTTTGACAATTTTAATTTTAATCAAACTTACAAGAACAGATCGCATTATTTTCACCCACTCGGGTATCAACGCCATGTGTTTCTCGCTCAGCGGTGACAAATCGTATGTTTTACATAAATCCTGTGAGTACTGTGAATAAGTTATAAAGTTAATTTATTTATTCTATGTAGCGAAGGACGCCCACTTTAAACGACAAATGGGATTTATCCAGTTACAGTTACAGCACAGCGATTTAAAAAATTACAAAAGCTACTAAATAAATTTCAATGATTGAATAAATTAAGTCAAAGGATAAAATTTGACCATCATCAACGAACCTCTTGAACCCGAGATGAGTCAGAAGTAACCTTAGAAACGTTATCACTGTGGAAATTGTAAACGTTTATCTGGGAGTTGTTGCTGAGTAGCTTGTTAAGAGTGATGGAGGGTCTCGTCACCACGTGGAACTTGTCTCCGCACACAAAAACTTTGTATAAAACTGAAAGATGACGTGTTTTGGCACTTCAGATAATCTGCAATTTGACATTCTGAATCACCCTTAACAGATCAAAGAGACAGTCCCGTGCACTACATAATATCATATGTAGCACAAAAGCGAACAAATAATTGCATTGAGGCAAAATTATGTGAACTTACCCGCATCATGGTCAATAAAAGGGACTATAACGTTGCTCGGTTTCACTTGTTTTAGCCCTCCTTCACTAAAAATAATACTCATATCATGCCCTAGAGCTCCTTGAGCTATCCTGGACTTGCAAATGACGGGAAACTGAAAGTTCTTCGCTACCAGAGCTTTATTAATACTGATAGGATCTTCTGATTCTACAAGGTGATATCCACAACTATAGAACTTTGTATCTGAAATAATTTGAAGTTTGTTACATTAAATACAGCAAAAAGCTTAAATTAACTTGGACTTACATAGTAAGGTTCAGAAGTTTCAGAAATATAAGAGCACAACTGAATTCAAATAATTTTAGATCGTGTCGAAACCAACTACAAAATAAATCAATAAACTTGTGATGGATCACGTGATCAAGTTCCACCCACCTATTGGACAAGTGTTGCTGCACTTCTGAACTGCCTCCATCATCAGCACTCTGTCTAGCAAGGTTTCTATGTTCGGGAGCGGGTCAAAAACTGGTAGTCCTTCGTGAGCTTTGAAATATTTCTGGGAAAACGGTTATAGTCAAAATTAGGTTTTGTAGTCTTGACCCCGTAGCACAAACAATTCGGCTCGACTGCTTACCATGAACTTCTCGAGCTGGTCGATTGCCGCCCTCTTCCCTTGCCTAGCGTCAAATATCAGGTCGCTCATTTTGTGAAACATGGCGTCAACTCGGGGCAGGTTGTCCTGCTCGCCGTCCATTGGAACCAAATCTGTGGGGTAGGGAGGGTTACTGGTGGGAAGAGTGTGAAGATGGAGTGGGGGCTAATATGAGAGGTTCTGGGTGTATGTGATTCTGGGGTGATGATACATATTACATAGCTGTTTAAAGTCGGCAGATTAGAGAGTATTGTGTGAGATAGGATGGCTTGACTAATGGTATCAAATGAAATGCAACAAAAGTCTTACCGCAATCATATTTCCGAGCTAGGATTTCTTCTATTTTGGAGATTTCTATTCGTTTAGCTTTTCCCTCCTTTAACCAGTACCCTATTTTCTTCTTTCCCATCCCACAACCTAAAGATTGAATCATGCTAACCATTTTGAAAAATACGTCGATTGAATAACTTCGCTGATCATAAAATACGGCAATAAAACACACAGCTACAGAGTACAACAACATATTCCTTATTTAACAAGATCCAGATGCAAGACTCAATTTTACTGTACAAGAACACCCTTTATTAGTAGCTATAGTATGCACAAAGCATGGATTCGTAATCTAATAAGATATCAGACGAAAACCACAGCCAAAAATAAGTCTGTTGTCCGTACAAACAACGTACATTATAAAGGAGCCAACTTTAAGAACGCCCTCCACGGCCTCCAGGTTCAAGCAGACAACTTGTATAATGTATAATGTATACCCATTCTAGACGACTAGACTGGCAATAGTACGGGTTATTACCAGGGTGGTAATCGGATGCTCCGTTTATTTCTAAACTGATAGTACAAGGGTATTACAATGAGTATCCACCTCATAATACCACGGTAAGGAGCTAGTACCTCTCTCTTTCTAGACTAGTTATATGTTACCAGCCTGCTGCTAGTACCTCTCTCTTTCTAGACTAGTTATATGTTACCAGCCTGCTGTTAGTACCTCTCTCTTTCTAGACTAGTTATATGTTACCAGCCTGCTGTTAGTACCTCTCTCTTTCTAGACTAGTTATATGTTACCAGCCTGCTGCTAGTACCTCTCTCTCTTTCTAGACTAGTTATATGTTACCAGCCTGCTGCTAGTACCTCTCTCTTTCTAGACTAGTTATATGTTACCAGCCTGCTGCTAGTACCTCTCTCTCTCTTTCTAGACTAGTTATATGTTACCAGCCTGCTGCTAGTACCTCTCTCTTTCTAGACTAGTTATATGTTACCAGCCTGCTGCTAGTACCTCTCTCTTTCTAGACTAGTTATATGTTACCAGCCTGCTGCTAGTACCTCTCTCTTTCTAGACTAGTTATATGTTACCAGCCTGCTGCTAGTACCTCTCTCTTTCTAGACTAGTTATATGTTACCAGCCTGCTGCTGCCTGCTAGTACCTCTCTCTTTCTAGACTAGTTATATGTTACCAGCCTGCTGTTAGTACCTCTCTCTTTCTAGACTAGTTATATGTTACCAGCCTGCTGCTAGTACCTCTCTCTTTCTAGACTAGTTATATGTTACCAGCCTGCTGCTAGTACCTCTCTCTTTCTAGACTAGTTATATGTTACCAGCCTGCTGCTAGTACCTCTCTCTTTCTAGACTAGTTATATGTTACCAGCCTGCTGCTAGTACCTCTCTCTTTCTAGACTAGTTATATGTTACCAGCCTGCTGCTAGTACCTCTCTCTTTCTAGACTAGTTATATGTTACCAGCCTGCTGCTAGTACCTCTCTCTTTCTAGACTAGTTATATGTTACCAGCCTGCTGCTAGTACCTCTCTCTTTCTAGACTAGTTATATGTTACCAGCCTGCTGCTAGTACCTCTCTCTTGCTAGACTAGTTATATGTTACCAGCCTGCTGCTAGTACCTCTCTCTTTCTAGACTAGTTATATGTTACCAGCCTGCTGCTAGTACCTCTCTCTTTCTAGACTAGTTATATGTTACCAGCCTGCTGCTAGTACCTCTCTCTTTCTAGACTAGTTATATGTTACCAGCCTGCTGCTAGTACCTCTCTCTTTCTAGACTAGTTATATGTTACCAGCCTGCTGCTAGTACCTCTCTCTTGCTAGACTAGTTATATGTTACCAGCCTGCTGCTAGTACCTCTCTCTTTCTAGACTAGTTATATGTTACCAGCCTGCTGCTAGTACCTCTCTCGGGGGGGGGGGGGGGGGGGGGGTCCAATGGCATAAAATGGCATAAAATGGAGACTTTTTCTATGGAGAAAATGGAAAAACCCATGAGTAATTCTCCATTTTCTCCATTTTATGCCATGAATTTTGTCTTCGAAATTTCATCTTTAACACCATTTAACACCTAAATTGGACATCCTAACATGTTTATTTACGCTTACTAGGGGCGTAACAAGCTTATGAAAGCTCATAGTAGGCTACTAGATGTTTATACTAGGTTAGTAGAGGCACACTTCAGGCAAACTCATAATTACTCAAGCCTAGTGTAAAGTTATTTCTACAGGCTACAGCAGGAGTGAGTAATAGGGGAGTAATAGGCACTGAGAAGTGAGACCTACATCCTCGAAAGTCGAAACAAGCTCGCACTGAGGGGAAGGCCTGCCTTCCGAGATCGCATTACCAGGGGGAAGCCTCGAGTCCAAATTTGTGTATCGAGGGGTAGGTGTAGACTTCGATAAACCGAAAAACCAAAAAATATTTTCGGCTAATAATGAAGAGGGTAGCATGAAACGTGGAGAAAAGTGGTTTTTAGAAAAAACTTTGAAAAATTTTGACTTAGAAAATTTTTGGCCCGAGTCATTCTCGATACGTACCTCTCGTATCGAGAGCTCCCGATTCCGAGCTCGTGTTGCAAAGGGGAGGCCTGCCTTCCGAGATCGCATTACCAGGGGGGAGCCTCGAGTCCAAAATTGTGTACCCGAGGGGTAATTTTCTAAGTCAAAATTTTTAAAAGTTTTTCTGAAAAACACTTTTCTCCACGTTTCATGCTACCTTGTTCATTATAAGCCGAAATTTTTCAAATTTCTGAAAATTTTTCAAATTTCTGAAAACCGCTTTTCTCCACGTTTCATGCTACCCTGTTCATTATTTGCCGAAAATATTTTTTCGGTTTTTCGAAGTCCACACCTTCCCCTCGATACACAATTTTGGACTCGAGGTAATGCGATCTCGGAAGGCAGGCCTCCCCTTTGCAACACGAGCTCGGAATCGGGAGCTCTCGATACGGGAGGTACGTATCGAAAATGACTCGGACCGAACATTTTCTAAGTCAACATTTTTCAAAATTTTTCAAAGTTTTTCTAAAAACCACTTTTCTCCATGTTTCATGTTACCCTGTTCATTATTGGCCGAAAATATCTTTTTTTGAAATAATTTTCCTCGAAATTCTAAATTTTTCAGGTTTTCAATGGCATAAAATGGCATAAAATGGCATAAAATGGCATAAAATGGAGACTATTTCTATGGAGAAAATGGAAAAACCTATGAGTAATTCTCCATTTTCTCCATTTATGCCATTGGCCCCCCCCCCCCCCTCTCTCTTTCTAGACTAGTTATATGTTACCAGCCTGCTGCTAGTACCTCTCTCTTTCTAGACTAGTTATATGTTACCAGCCTGCTGCTAGTACCTCTCTCTTTCTAGACTAGTTATATGTTACCAGCCTGCTGCTAGTACCTCTCTCTTTCTAGACTAGTTATATGTTACCAGCCTACCACCCCACGTGATAACCGCGTGCAAGAAACTAAGGGTGTAACAATCACTTTCAACGTATCACTCTGCATGCTCTAATTTGAATGCACAAAGAGGCAGGGTATTACCATGGTAAGCGTGTTTGTTCTAGACTATATAATTATATAGTAATACCCTGGTATTACCAAGGTGGTTATACCCAGGTAGGCCGATGTTGCCTTTCTAGACTAGTAATACTAGGTGCTACCACCCTGGCTATTACTAGTCTGGCTATAAATTACAGTCTACATGCAGTATACTTATGGTAGCCTAGTGGTGGATATTTTTAGTGCCAGAACAAAAGACCTATCCAAATAATTGTTACAGACAACTTGCATGAGACCAGCTGTTGTTGTACACATTTACAAGTCAACCAACAATGAAGTTATTACTAAAATAGCTCGCCTCTTGCTGCTAGATTAACTCTAACTGGCACAGTGTTGTTATGGCAACGTTAAATGAGGGGGAGCTCAAAATGTTGTGATAGAAATATACGGTATGTGTGAAGAGTTGATTTTGACGCAGCAATAACGAGTGTTATACAATAAATCATACTTTCGCTGAAAAATTACAAAATAAGGTTAAACAACAGATACTAAAATACAAGTGCAGAAATGGGGAACTACACACACGCACATATCCAGTACACGTACACACTATACAGATTTCATGATCTTTCTGTACTTTCCGACCCTAATCAATATGGCTTCCTAGAAAAATTTAACACCAAAAGCATGGACGAATATGATCGGAAATTGAACGGGAAGTTTTACTTTTAGGCGAATTCGTCAGACTAAGTGACAACGGAACCCACTGTGTGATATACTTTACAAATACAGAAAAGAGGACGCATAAAATCACAAAATCAAAAATCTTAAGTAATAATTATAATCCTATAATCTAATAACAATGATGAATAAGAATTGTTCATCAGATTATGGATTATGAATATACAAAGCTGGAATGTTATTCATGCTTTTCCTTATTAATTTGATTTATCTATCTGCCACAATGGTATGTAGGTTGTATGGAGGCACACAACTTCGGTGCAGTGACGTTACAAAGGGCCTGCAGGGGGAGATCAAAGGGGGGGGGGGGGGGGGCTTCCCCCCTCCCGAATTTTAGGACTTTTTTACGAAAGGTCTCACCTTTTCTTATTTTTTATTTTAGGACATACAAAATATTTGTAGGTGCGCCAGAACATTTCGACGAGGGACGCCAAGTGCCAAATGTAACGTTACGCCACTGCTTCGATGATAAAGAAGTAAATAAACAATCTTCATTTCAATACTGGAGAAAAATCTGATAAAAAACTAACTAAACACAGATGATAAAAGTAGAGGTCTGACGTTGAGGTCACAGTTAGCTCTCTCAATTTGATATTTTGGAAGTCACGTGATCAAATTCCTCAATACTTGTATACTTATTGGCTGATGAAAACTCCCTCTAAATCTACCTCGATATGAGGACCGTCACGTAAACGAGCAGCCACCTAATCAGAAAAGCTTTGGAGATTCCGTAGAACCAATTAGGACGCAGGAACTCTCCGAACAACAGCCCATGACCTCATTCCATTGCTATTAATAAACTTACTTAATTTGATTCCCCGTCTGAATAATATCTCGAAATATCTCGTATTTTAAGTAAGAAAAATCGGAATTGTTAAAATGGACAATGTTAGAGTACTTGAACAGTAATCAGTATTAATGGCTTTGCCCAATAGCTCCGAAATCTACTGTACACAAATCTACTATACATAAATCTACTATACACAAATCTACTATACACAAATCTACTATACACTTGCACACCAATTGTGAACCAAAGCCTACTTTAATCTGACTTCCATCTTCCAACAAATTTAGATTTACTTTTAGGCGCTTCAAAGTGAAACTTGGTATGTTCATTTTACTCAAATTGGCATTTCTCTCCATTTTCTTTTATTGTCTATGGACAAACACATGATCTAGAACTATTGCAATAAACACAGTTTATGTCAATCATCTGTTGAACTGGCGGACTATAGTTCACCAGGTCAACCAAAACAGATTACAGAAGATATTACAAAGTTATCCCAGTTATCACACATGGTCAACCAAAACAGATTACAGAAGATATTACAAAGTTATCCCAGGCTAAACACATGTTATTAGTACTGTCTCATGATGTTATTCATGATGGAAACATTCAAACGTTTTTACACTAACAGCCCTCAATTGAGCACGACTACAACAGGCACAGAAACTGAGTCATAGCTTATACTTAGCAACTTATAGCTGACAAAAGTGAAAAGTAAACAATCGGTAGGGCCGCCATATTGTCACATGTTGCTGCTTGTCGACTGTGTAGTACGTGTAAGTTGGACAAGCTCCGACCCACCTCATATTTATTGATTTGCATGTATACGCGTGTGTACAGTGTACACTGCATGTACATGTTGATCATGTATAGATCCCCCCGCAGCTGCTGCATGGTCAAATTAGACTCCAGATTTCACGACTATTACAAGGATTCGCCAGCCAGCGGACGAAATGAACTCGTAAAACAAAATCGAATTCGCTATAAATGTAAATTCTTTAACTACAAAATAGTAAAAGAGCCTTCAATTTGAAGACAAGAGACGTAAACAAACATCATAGCAAAATATCAGATTACATTTTAAGAACATGATAGCTGCTAATGAAGATTATAGGACAATGCCGAGAGATGATCCACGAGGAGGATAAGGGTGTACAATTTGGCAGCCAGCTAATACTAGGATTACTTTATAACCAAGACTTTGAGATGCATGACAATAATCTCAGTATGCTTTATAATAACATACATTTATTGATCGCTGTGCAGTTTAACGCCGAATAGATGGACTAGAGAACTATAAATTTAAAAATTGTGCATTATTCAATGACGGAGAGGGGGCACCCTTCAATATTGTCGACAGCTTTGATTATGCAACAAATAATTTTGTTAAATTATTAAAGCAGCGGTGAGCGGCGTAACGTAACCATTTGATCAATTGTGCAATTCAGCTGGGCTTATTTAGAATGAAATACATTTCTCACGCTCCCGTTCAGCTCAATTGTGTCCCTTCAACAAGTGGAACTTGGGAGACAAAGGACTTGAAACAAGCTCATCATGATAATTGGGACAATGTGATTCAAATGAATGAAACAAATTAAAGCAAGCATAATATCAAAATACCGTACAGTTGGAAGACCGGCCATTTGTGTTCTCAATATAATAAAACTTATCTAAATAATCGTCAAGAAGACGTCAGCTGGAAGAAGTTTCTGTACTTAGTCTTGACTTAAAGTTGTAGAGCGCTATGAAATAGTGCAAAAGTTGCACAAAGCACAAGAAATAGTAGGGCTACTGAAATTAAAATCAGCCATTTAAAAAAATCATTTGTCGAGACCCACCTCGCGTCATAGTACCACACCTAACTATTCAAATTATATTTTATAGTCACGACTGCGATGCGCTTCAAAAACGCAGAAAGATTAACTCAATATTAATTGGTTTCATGAAATCACTTAACCACCAACGAAGCTGAACTAACTAATTCAGCGCAAATTGGCCAAGTCAAAGATGATAATGAACATGATAATGAACAATGAACATGATAATCAACATGATAATGGACTATCAGTCACCACTAATGCTAGAAAAGCAGGAAACTCATCTCAGTAAACTAGGCTCAAATAGACTGGCAGGAAAAGATTGTCATTATCCTAATCTCTCTCTCTCTCTCTCTCTCTCTCTCTCTCTCTCTCTCTCTCTCTCTCTCTCTCTCTCTCTCTCTCTCTCTCTCTCTCTCTCTCTCTCTCTCTCTCTCTCTCTCTCTCTCTCTCTCTCTCTCTCTCTCTCTCTCTCTCTCTCTCTCTCTCTCTCACTCTCTCTCTCTCTCTCTCTCTCTCTCTCTCTCTCTCTCTCTCTCTCTCTCTCTCTCTCTCTCTCTCTCTCTCTCTCTCTCTCTCTCTCTCACTCTCTCTCCAAACTGGAGACAACTCGGCACAGAGTTGCAGAGTCGCGACTATGCTGGTTACCGCAATAACCGGTTACAAATTGCAGGTAGCTCATCTAAACGATATCACTATCAGTATAAATATAATAAGTAGTGAGTTAATTCCGTGTAGCTTTATAAGGAGGACCACCTGTCCGGCTGTGACTGGAGGATCTTTACCTACCCAGTAAGCTGATGTGAGATTTTGATTTGTCCGGTAAGTAGCAACCCATCAGTGATCACTCCGAGGTCAGATCAAAGGCAAGCGAATCGTGTCCGATTGTCAGGACTGACGGGACTATTAAAAACTCCTGCCTAGATGCCGTTTATAGCTGTAGCTGTCTAGGTCTATAAGTATGTAACTGGCACATCAGACTTATTTCCGTGTTGCTATGGTAGCAGTTCATTGTGGATAGTGAACTCGGTAGATAATAGATATCTATATCGTATAGAATTATATATACCTCGAAGAACAGCTAAACACGTGGTATTCTAGACGAAAGTACTTAATTAAAGCCAGGTCAGCCTAATTCCGGCTTCTGTCCATTGTAATTGCTTACTATATCGGACCATTCTCTTCTCAAGAATTTCGATTTCTTGGGATCAAACTAGAGATAGACGTTAAATGGCAGCATTTCGACTAAGTGAGAAAATGTATCGCGTCCGCAAAAGCAAAGATAATGCCACATTTGAACAAAAGATGAATAAAGTTAAAAGTTAAAAACAAAACTGAACCTTTAAACTTCTGTTTTTTAACGTGCAATTGTAATGAGCAAGACAATACAGAGTTTTTTAATGACATCATATTCTGCGAAAGATTTTTACAATTTTGGAAAGAAAATAAGTCTACAAACAATTGGTAATATTGCGAAATATCTACTTGAGTAAGCGGTTTTCTTATCTTCTATTGTCTCATGATGAACGACAAATTTAAAACCTTTTCTCCGTTGCATAAAAATTTAACAACATTCAGTGGGGATAACATGAATATTAACAACATGAAAAACATACGCTCAATTTGCCCCAATAAAGTGCAATTTTCGCCCACTTTATGCTTCTTATGCGTCCCACGTGCACTACCACGTGCACTACCACGTGCACTACCACGCTCAATAAAACCATGATAAAATATGAGCACCTGATCTGCATTCAAATTGCACTCATTTCGCTCGCATTAAACCGATAATACACTTATTTTGTGAAGTGGGTAAAAGATGACAGGATCGAGTACAATCAAGTCGACATTAACAATGATAAGCATTACCAGAACTCGGTGGAACTAATTTGATCCATGATATAACGACAGGCCCTACATTAAAATCAACAGATCAATTTCGTGCGCACAACCACACTCAGTAACAATATATGAAGCGCAGATTGAGATTATATTAGCGAAGTTGATAATTGAATAAAAGTTAACAACAAATACACGAAATGTACAATGTATAAAGCAAAACATGAACATACAACTGCAATACAATAAGTAAAATCCCCTGAACTGTGCCATGTTTAAAATGTATATTGTATATACATTATACATGGCACATAGAGACTAGAGAGTTATATGGTAGACGAACGTGAAAGTTCATTTGAATTATACGTCAAATACCTAGGTGCTTTGTATCTACATCACGCAGTGCACACTAAATGGTAACTTTAGAGTGTACATTGTTTACTGTATGTGACGGCAATATATAGTAATTTACAGTTTTATAGCGTGTATACACGGTGTAAACTATAAACTTGAGAAATAGGGACAACACGAAGAAATGTTTTACACGATAATACACATTAAATCAATCTTTAACGCATCAAAATTTAACGCTTGACAAACATAAAACCTTGGCTAAACACGAGAGAATAAAGAATTGTGAGAAAATGAAGGTATAAAACCTTGGCTAAACACGAGAGAATAAAGAATTGTGAGAAAAGTATGCGACGATCATGTGACAATTACACGGTATGATCTGGGAACTGTGACGAGTGTGACGTCATCACACTATCCTGTGTGATAAGCAGAGGGATTACACAGTTACAGGCGTGATTAACTGACTATTTCCCGGGAAATTTAAACATGTAATAAAATGATGAACTCAACTATTTAGTGTAGAGAGAATTGTCACATTACAGAAAAATGTTACACGATGTGACCTATCACCTAACAATAATATACACCAATAAAAGACAGTACCTCAAACTACTCGTTTATTACGCTAATAAAGCAATAACGAACACAAACAAGTTATAAGATAAAGCAACAATAATACTCGCCAGTACGGTAAGAGACATGAGATACACAACATATGCTAATATATAACAACTTAACGTCCAGTTAGTGTTACTCAATCCAGAGCTGCTTCCTGGAGTACAGAATAACAGGAGCAGTCCCCGTTACGATGAGACGAGAATGGGAGTGTATAATGTATAATGTACATTATGCAGAGTGTACATTATATTGGTGTGTACGTGGTGAACGCTGGTTAGAGGTACGGGGGTATCCGGTATACGGTATGTGTAAGGGT